TAGCCACAAGTTTGCAAAGTGGCTTTCCGGCTGAGTGTCAGGAGAAAACAAAAAACACACACTGGGTAACTTAGTAGTAAAAAATGGAACCGAACAAAACATGATTCCTTTTTTACTTGAGAAATTGACCGGTTAAGACCTGCTTCCCAAATGAGGAAGCTTAGGTTTTTTGAATTACAGCCACCCCATAATGCCCATGCTAGCTAGGGGAATCTGGGAATTGTAGTTAACAACAAAAAAAAAAACCTTTGGGAAGAGCGCATATCCTGAATTGAACAAGATCTTTTTAAGTTCACGAGGGGAAGTTGGGCGAAGTGTTTGGCAGAAGGGCCATCTTGATGATGGGGATGCTTCCATCCATTCTGACAGAGCCTCTAACCATTCCTCCCTCCCTCTGCCCACAACAGCCTAATCAACATATTGATGGAGATGAAAATAGGATGCCCTTGCTGTGAACTTGACTTTAAACCTTTTGGCTTTTGCTGCCTGTGGGGGAAATTGGGCCTCGTGAGAATGATTTGGGGAGAGCAAAGAGCCTGTCACTCTTCGGGGCATTGAGCCCTCTTTTAAAACTTTCTCTTTCTTTTTTCTAATAGGTCTACACTCAATAAACAAAGGAGGGATACCTAGTGTAGTGGGTAGATTAAGGGACTAGGACTCGGGAGACCCGAGTTTGAATCCTGGCTCAGCCATGGAAATTTACTTAGATGATGGAAATTGGTTCCCACTTGGCACACATTTGAACAAGCAGTCTAATGGCACCTTAAAAAACTAAGCTGCTTTACTGGGGAAATAGATCTTCATGGACTTCAACCCACTTCAGTAGGATATTGCCTTGAGTAGTAGATACAGAGAAACACACTTGAATGTGTAGGAATGTAAATGAGCTTCTTGACAGTGGCCATTAACTAGCTGTCCATGGAAGGTGACGGGGATTTATTAGCTTAGACTGGATTGTTTTCTTGATAGTAATCATTAATCAGCTGGTTTTGGGAGGTGACAAGAACATCTTAGCATAGGTAAATTAGCTTAGACTGGATTGTTTTCTTGATAATCATTAATCAGCTGGTTTTTGGAGGTGACAAGAACATCCTACGGATTCAATATACGAATGGCGAGGAAAAGTCTTTGTCGAAATAGAAGGGTTTTCTCTCAAGCAACAAAGAAATGTGTGGTGCCTTAACTATTAACGAGTTACATTTGGTATAAGTATCTGTGGAGTGCAGCCAGAAATGTTGATTTAGCCACCGCAGACGTGATGCTAGCTTTCTTCTTAGAAATGTGCTCTCTAGGTGGATTCTAGTGGGTGGGCGAGCGACTATAATCAGGCGGAATCAAAAGGCCAAAATTATAGGCAATGAAAATTGTCTGAGCGGGCGGCCATCAATTAAAGTTGTTTGTTTGGTGAGTGGCCATACAAATAGCCCAGCAAGGATGAATTGATTGGCACAGGGCTACACGGGATATTTTCTAGAGTATAGGAAAACAAGGATTTCACCACTGGTGGCTTGGAGGGTTGCGCTGAATCCAGCCGTCCCACCTGTCTGCCATTTGCCGATACAAGGCCAGTGCTGTGCACTCCTTTCAAAGTGTCTCTTGTTCAGAGGGAAGAGAGCAGGTTTTCTCCCATACCCTGAGCCTGGCATTTGTTACTCCGAAAACCAGCCAATGGTTTTCTGAGCATCCGTTTAGGGGCAAGGGGCATCTCTGGTTTGGAACGTGGACTGCGCTTGCCAAAAAAGATGTGTGTTGAACTTTCCCCCTTCCTCCTTCACATTCCCCTTTCTGCCTTGTTCATTTAAAAACCGGCTAAAATCCTGTTGTGCTACTATACAAAAGGTGCATGTTTTGGAGATGTCTTGCCTCCAGAGAAGTGGTCTCCATAAACATTATCGGTTGTGCGCTGAGTCACACAATATTCAGCAGATAATGTCTACAGAAATTTCTGAACTCGATGCAATTCACTTCTGAAAGCTCCTCCTTTGACATGGCGCATAGCGGGCATCCTTCAGTCTCGAGAGACGATGGTAACGTGCTCTGTATGGAGGTCTTGGAACAGCCTCTAGTGTGGCTGAGGAGGCCAATTCAGGAGTGACCATCCCTTCCAGGCTGTGCATGGCAGCACAACAGGATTTTAGCCCTTACGTATTCGCTTTGAAATACTGTGTTGTTGTTTTAATGACTCTTATAGAACGGTGTCTACTGGCCTTTTTAAAAGCCTCACTCAGGAACGGCTGGAGTTTTTACAGACTTGTATGCTGCCTGGAGAAGGTGTGACTGAGAGGGTCTTTTCTGGGCTGGGATGACTGTCAGTCTATCCAACACTAACCGATAGTCCTCTCCTGCCTCTGAATTCAAAGAGCCCCATCTCTTTGCTCTGTGCTTTTTCCCTCTCTAAAGTCTGTTGCTGAAAGCAGTCATGTTTGTTAGTTTTCTAATGAACTGTAAGTAAATATTTTAATTCATTCTCCTACTAATGTCTCAGACTGAGGTATTGATACTATAAGTGCCAGTGAGTAAGGAAAGGGACATTCTCAGTAACCATTCTGCCACTCCCCATCCATGCACTGTGCATGAGCAGTAACACTAAACTACACAGAGACAGCTCCTTAACATGCCCTCGTTCCATCAGGATTCTATGCTCAGAGCGGCTGACAAATCAGTGGGGATGAGCCAGTTGTTGTTATTTAGTTGTGCCTGACTCTTCATGACCCTATGGACCAAAGCACGCCAGGCCCTCCTGTCTCCCACTGCCTCCCGGAGTTGGGTCAAATTCATGCTGCTAGCTTCGATGACACTGTCCAACCATCTCATCCTCTGTCGTCCCCTTCTCCTTTTGCCTTCACACTTTCCCAACATTAAGGTCTTTTCCAGGGAGTCTTCTCTTCTTATGAGATGGCCAAAGTACTGGAGCCCCAGCTTCAGGATCTGTCCTTCCAGTGAGCACTCAGGGTTGATTTCCTTCAGAATGGATAGGTTTGTTCTCCTTGCAGTCCAGGGGACTCTCAAGAGCCTCCTCCAGCACCACAATTCCAAAGAATCAATTCTTCAGCAGTTAGCCTTCTTTATGGTTCAGCTCTCGCTCCCATACATCGCTACTGGAAAAACCAGAGCTTTGACTATATGGACCTTTGTTGGCAAGGAGATGTCTCTGCTTTTTAAGATGCTGTCTAGGTTTGTTATCGCTTTCCTCCCAAGAAGCAGGCGTCTTTTAATTTCATGGCTGCTGTCAGTTACTGCCCTCAAATCTACAATCTAAAAAGACACAGCACCACAGTCAAATCAAATGAACTCGATGGGCTCCTGCTTATAGTGTTATACAAGCCATATCTTGGTACATCCTGTTGGCTAACTAATATTGTCAGGTCTCACACACCGATGTGTCAAAGAGCTGCTGTGTTTTCCCCAGTCTCCAGGCAGGGAGAAAAATCTCTGGGGAAGCTGTGCTAAGAAGGAGAACTTGTGTCTTGTGATGGATGGCTTTAGCCTCTAGAGACCATAGAACAGGAAGAAGGAAGCTTTGAGTCTCTTTTTAGCTGACTGCTTCCACAGCTCATTGGCCATGTTGGGTGGGGCTTTTTGAAACTGAAACCCAAAACATTTGGAAAGCCATCAGCTTCCCTACCCATGGTGTCAAAGCAAATGATGCAATAAAGTCACCCTCTTAACTTCTTTGGAAGGGAAGAAATGCTGCAGAAAACAGTGAGATGTATTTCTGAGTAAACACAGATGGTAATGATTGGGTGTTAAATTTCTTAAGTCTTTAATGTGTTGCAAGGCTTGTGTGTGTGTCTGTGTGTCTGTGTTTGTATCTTCTTTCTTGTTCATAGTAGACTGATTTTCATGTGGGCATCTTGAATGTTGCCTTAACAGATTTTAAACAGGACGATCTTCCTCGTTGGTCATCACGGCCTTGGGAAGGAATTGAGAGACAAATTTAGAAAGATTTCCTAGAAAAGGAAGAAAATGTTTGTGTTTGATTTCCAAACTCCACTTGTTTTTTTCCTTTAATAGTCGTATGGTCTTCTTATCCCAGATGCCTTTGTCCCTCCCCTTCCCTCTGCTTTTCCTGTTCTACTTTTCTCTGAGAGATTTCTGGTGGGGGAAAACCCTCTAAAGCCATCCCAAAATACAGTAGGTAAAAGATCTTTCTTCGCTCCTTCAAGCAAACCGCTCTAGAATATCAAATTCTGTGCTTGCTGGCATTCTCCGACTCCTGTGTGATAGATTCCCCTTGGCTCAGCTTTGTACGCTGCTTGTAGGTAGGGATGTAACTACTACCTGTCACGTAGCAAAATTTGCTTTGGTAGTGAAGGAAACACACGCCAAGCATCAAAAGTCTTAAGAAAGGAAGGAAGCTGTGTCATCCTACATTTATGTATAAATATGTTGTGTCAATGCCATGCATGTTTTGTGTTGCTCTTGATATATTGTGATGACCTTATGGTTTTAAGCAGGCAAGCTTTGTTCTTCTAATTAAAAGTTCTGTTAACAAATATACCAGGTTGCACAGGGCTAGCGTGAGAAACCTGTAGCCAGTCCAGATTATTTTCAATGCATTGAAATGGGTCCATCCCATTTTAAACCCCGGTTGGCAGACTCCAGGTCCCATCAGCCCCAGCTAACATGGCACATTGTTGCGAATGATGGGAGTTGGAACACACCTGTGTTTCGAGAGCCACCGTTTGTCCCTATAGGGAAATAGCTGAAATTCCCCTTGACCCCAGGCCTTCCGAACCCAGCACCTGAGCAGCGAGTCTACATTGGGGCCAGAAGCGTAGACTGTTCCATTGTGTGTCTGTTGTTTGTGTGTGTGTGCAGAGCGATGGGAGACAAACTGAGAAGTAAGAAACATTTGAAAGCCATAACTTTTAAAAATTGTCAGTTGGAGATGGGTCAAAAATGATGAAATGAAGCCACTAATATCCTTTCCTTCTTTTGCAGTTCTGAGATGTTTTCCTGAAATGATGTACATGTGTCGCCTTCTCTTTTCCCTGCAGGCCATGGCAACCATAAAGAAAGCAGTCCTTTCCTCAACAACTCTGACCTTAAAGGAGACTATTATGACAGGAATTTGGCCTTGTTTGAGGTAAGGAAAAAGTCATTGTTGTCTTCAGTTGGTTTTATAAGTAACTTTTAGGATTGTGGGGTGGAACATCTGTCAAGCGACAACTGGTCCGTTCTAATTTGGGATTGTCTCCTCAGACTGACTGTGAGGGTCTGCATTTTTTCCCAGGCTTGTGATTTGGGTCTTTCTATGCACACCTTATAAGATCTATCCAATTCTTCAAAAAACCTCTGGTTTATGAATGCGGGATATTGTGCTTCTGTAGCCACGATTCAGAAAGCCAGGAAATGGCCCAATATTGCTGCACAATATCATGCCCACATTGCCAGCAGGAAAAGGGATGCTAAACCTTATCTAGCAAAGGGCAGCCTGAATATTGACAACACCAATGGCGGCGGTCTTGATGGTCTACAGAATAGCCTCTTCTAGACAGTGTAACTTAAAAAGAAATCCTAACTCGAAAACCTTTTGCCCAAACATCCCCAAATTTGGCACAGAGGAAGAGCTGACTTTCTGCTACATCAGTGTCAAATTCGGTGCTGATCTAAAGTCCAGTTTCATAGTTACAATTTTGTTTGTTTGTTTGGGGTACCCCTCTTTTTTGAGTTGGCTTATGGAAATCTGAATCCTGCTATCAGCACAATGTATTGCTGCCCTCCTGGGCACCAATAATCCCTTAGCGTGGTCCTTTTCATATTTTCGGTGGCTGTAAACTAAACTAAGACAGGCCTATCAAGAGGCTGTTCCTGGGGGAGTGTATGCTGATGGCAGAAATCCAACAAGAGTCATTTGCCGTGCTGTCTGTGGAATTCTGGGAGTTGTAGTCCAAAGCCACAGTTCTATACATCTCTAGGGTGATGTGTGTGTGTCCCCCGCCCCGTTCAGAACCTTGGCATGTGTGTGTGTGTGTGTGTGTGTCCCGCCCCACTCAGAACCTTGGGCATTGCATCACAGAGTAGAATCACTGGCCTGTCTTAGCTCAGCACAAGAGAAGACAGCAACCTGGGCATGAAGGACACCCATGTCTACTAATGGATTCTGGGGAGATGGGTCTTCACAGGTTTGTGTCTTAGCAGTGCAGTGATTATTGAGGGGCAGGGAAGGAAGACCAAGAACTTTGATATGGGAGAGGGCTGAACCGCCGTTGTTTCTTCAGTCTCTTGGAGAACATTATGCCGAAGAGGGTCCATGTTTGGTGGAGAGCATCTCCATTGAGTGGAGAAGGTCCCAGGTTGAACCACCCCACCCACCCTACCCCAAGCTTTGGTGAAAAGGCTCAAGTAGGAGGGAATAGGAGAGACTTAAACCCTCTATACAGTGTCCAGAAGCAGCTGCCAACCAGAGGGGGCAAAATGGTCTATTGGTGGAGATGTCCACACTTCCATGTGCCTTTTGCAAAGCAGACAACAATGCAGGTCGTTGTTCCCCATTGCAGCCCACGGATCTTGTCTGACTTTGGATACAGGCTCAGGGCTGGTTAGGACCTGAATGGGAGACCACTAGGGAATGCCAGGGATCTGAAGAGAGAGAGGGCTGGGAAAGGCTCCTGCCTGAAATGCTAACACCCCGTTGCTGCCAGTGTCCTTGTTGACCTTGCAGCCTCTTCAAACTTTTTCTCAGTAACTGGCTGTCGGGGGTGGGGTTTGACTGCCGCTGTTTGGTTGGTCCCCTCTTAGGGATGGAACATTTCCAAAAAGGTCCAGTTTGTTCCAGGAAATAAAACTACACTTAAAAGTGGTTTTGTTTTATATTTTCTTATAAAACTTGGGAGTAAACAGCTTATCAGAATTCTGGTGTTCTTTAGACATGTAAAATTTCTGAAAAATTCAGTTTTCCATTGGAAAATTTCAATTTTTTTTTCCTGGAAAAAAAAAGTATTTTCTGGGGGTTTCTTTCTGGGGAAAAAATGGAAATTTTCAGAACTTTTACATTTCTATACCCTCTTTCCTGTTCTTCTATTGTTGGTATTAATATTGCAAACCATATTGGGTCCTCTTGAGGAGAAAGGCATGGTATAAATATTTTACATGCATGCACCCATCTATATATGCATGCATGCATCCATACAGTCATTGCATTTGACAGCAGTGTTACATGTGTTTTTGACGTAGGCAATAGACTTTTGGGGAGAGCCTTTGAGTCCCCCTGTAGACACCTGCCCAGAAGCATAGCATCAGGTTAGCGCTTTTTGTATTATTGTTGTTGTTGCACAAGGACAAGCTTGTTGTGAGCCTTGAGTTACTTCATCTTTTCTGTTTGGGCATGCAATATGGATCTGTCCCTGGCCATCCCCTTTTCTGCAACAGAGCTGCTGGTTGTGATGTTAGCAGGGCAATGAGCCTGTTCTGGGTTTTGGCCTGAACTTTAAAAGACCTGGCTAAGGCATTGCACCTGTTTTGAACTTCATAACAGTAATTGTCTTGTTTCGGCATCCTGTGTTTGAGTCCATTGCATTATTTTCTTGTTGGATTTGTATACTGATCTACCATAAATCTAGGGCTCCTTTTTAAAGGATGCAATGCTCACCAGCTTGAAATCAATGAGTCTTCATATATAATTGGACGTTTGATTCATTGATTAAACTCAGCAGTCCTGGATAAAATAGAAGCACTTACAGATAGGGAAAAGATCATTGGCTGACATTAAAGGCATTTCCATCAAGAACATTTACCGAGTTTTATGTTGTTTACAGTGACATTTTAATTGTTCCATTGTATGGTTTGTTTCTGGCTTGTCTTTAAACCTGATTGTAACTTGCCTTGAGCACTGTTCCTCAGTAGAAAGGTGAGGATGAAGTATTGTATATAAACCTAAGAAAGTGGATATGAGATGGAAGGTTCCAGATGGTTGCTCCACCTTAAATCATCCTCATCTTAGAATGACCGAGCTGGAAGGGACTTTATGAATCATCAAGTCTGGGAAGCCCAGTGAGGAATCGAATTCCCAACCTCTCTGCAGCCAGAGACCTAAATGACCTGAGATATTTTATTCAATTGGAGGTTTTGAAAATATTTTTATACCAGATTTTAAGACCTTCCCAAATCCATTTGGGTGGCTGATGACGTAATGTGAGACTAAGCGACCGCCGCTGTTGCCCGGGTTCCGAAGCGGTTCTGTATCTCCACAGAAACGGGTTTTGATTTGATGCCAAAGTGAGGTGTTTTTATTTTGGGGGGTTTAATGATGGATGCTAGCTAGCCACTGCCTTTCAGCATCTGAGCGAGACTTTTGTGTCTTGTGCAAATAGTTTCCATAGCGATGGCCTTTTGATTCTCTTGCAGTGGGCCCAGCGGGTTTCCCTTTGGTTTCTTCCAAGCATATTACAAAATAATAACAATATTTTTTAAAAAAAGATTGGGATCCCAGGGGAAAAAAAGCCGTGAGGTGTAAAAGCCAAAAATCTACAGCTAACTTTTATTAGATCCGACCGAAACAAGAGCCCGAAAGGGCAACCTGTTCCCTTTTGGTTTGGTCACAGTTGTAGAGTTTGGCTTTTCCCTCAGTATGTTCGCTCCTTTAGAAATGTGCTGGCTGCTGTGAGGAATGTGCCACTTCGCTCCTGCCCTCCCACCACGGTTGGCATTTTCGTTGGCCTCTTTCTGTTTTGTGGCAGTTGTCTGGAAAAGTTGGCAAACCAGAGCAGTGGACGTTTGGTGGCCTTCCTCCTGATTCGTGAGAAGCTCCTTGGCGAAATTTCTTTCCTGAGCCCTTTCTTCTGTGCCTAGGAATAGCCTTTCCACCTGGGCAGAGAGAGACAACTGCGTCAGGAATGGATATCTTATCAGAAGTGTTGAAAGACTGTCCAATACAAAAGGCAACTGAACGATGGGATTTATTATATAAATGGCTTGAGTCACCAGATAGTACTTGAATAACATAGATTAAAACTAGGATGTAAATGTAAGTTAAAACCTGGAGGGCAATCAAATAGAAGAAAAGCGGAAAGTCGAGTTGATATTGCAACGTGAGTAGATCGGATGTCAGTACATTTTGTGTTCTCCCCCTCCTTTTTTCTTCCCTCGGATCCTCCTTTACCTTCTGTACCTCTTACCTTAAATTGTTAATTTTTTAAAAAGTAGTTTACCATTCTCTTTTTCCAAGGGGTGCCTGGGGACTCTGCAGCTTGCCCAAGGCCACCCTGGCTGGCTCTTCTCCTGGGACGCATGTTGGGGAATTTAACTCCCAACCTCGGATACCCAGCTCCCTGAGTTAGTGTATGGAGCTGCTAATATAGAAAGTGTGTCTATGAGTGCACCAAATATTATGTTAAATGCTCATTATCTCCCGCTTATCATCATCACTGTCGTGAACGTATTTGTCTTCATTGCAGGAAGAGCTGGACATTCGACCAAAGGTCTCGTCTCTGCTTGGCAAGCTGGTCAGCTACACAAATCTCACCCAGGGGGCCAAAGAACACGAGGAAGCGGAAAATGCAGAAGGCTCAAGGAAGAAAGTGTCAAAAGTACGTAGCTTCTTTCCGTGGACGGCTTAACGTTTTCAGAACAGACGGGGGGAAATCTTAAGTATTGCAGACGCCTCCAGAGAAGTAGCAATGTTAAGAGTGTTTCAGTAGCAACTAAAAGAAAAAGCAAACTGGCATCATTTTAAATTAGCAAATGTGTATCCGTGGAGCTGATTTCTTTTACAAAAAAAAGTGGATGGATTGGGCATCCATAAAAGCTGGCATTGGAGTAAAACTTTAAGGAATCACAGAACTTTTGTTATTGGCTTTTAGAACACTGTTAGGCTAGGAAAAAGCGTTTTGTCTTGAACACCTTGAAAACGGGGGAATTTCATCGGTAAAAGTGGTTTCCTTGTACTGATGATGCAGGCGGCCCCTTTTCCACCTTGTCATGCATCCAAGCCACCTTCCTTGGAACAATTACGTAGATAATTAACAGCCAGATAAGGTTCATGGTTGTTGAATTGGCTGGTTCTGGCGTCTCTTTGTGCTCCTCTCCAAGACCTTTGAGGGCTATGCTCCTGACACTTCAAAAGTATCCCCTCCAAATGACAGGTGGTGCTCCCAAAGACACAGAGGGTGTCTGATTTGCTACAGTGGGGTCTTGACTTGAGAACTTAATCCGTATTGGAAGGCGGTTCTCAAGTCAAAATGTTCTCAGGTCAAATCTGCATTTCTCATAGGAATGCATTGAGAACCATTTGATCTTTTTTCTTAGGTCAAGAAAGGTTCAGGGAAGGCAGGGAAAATACAGTCCAGGCAGTACCAGGCAGTCCGAAGACTGTCTCCCAATCCACTCTCTAAACGCTGGGAGGAGTGAGGAAGCAGACAGGCACCCTTTTCACTGGCCAACAGTTAACTGAAAGTTCAAATTTTGCACTTTCCCTGCCTCCCACTTGGGTTTTTTTCAGTTCTTAACTCAAATCTAAGTACTTAAGTCAAGTCAATATTTTTCTATGAGAGCGGTTCTTAAGTCAAAATGTTCTTAACTCAAGCCATTCTTAAGTCAAGACCCCACTGTATTTTATGCAGCTTTGGTTTCTGGTGGGCTGGGAATTATAGGTCGTCAATCACTTCCGCTCACCCACCCCCCACAAAAGAAGTTATTCTCTGTTCTAAGACAGGTTGTACAAATAACAGATTTTACACACACACACAGAGAGAGAGAGAGAGAGAGAGAAACAAATGGAGCTTTTTGCAAATTCTCAGTGAATCCTGTGCCCCAAACCGATGGAGCAGGTTTGGCGAGGCCTGAAATGCTGAAGCGAGAGGCCAGGAATCTAGATACGGTTTGTGCTCATGTTTCGCCTCTGCACACATCATGGAATAAGAGCCTCTTTGGGTTGTGTTGCTACGAAGAAAGCTCAATACGTTTTAATTTCAAAGCATGGGGGGATATTGATCCTGCTGCATCCTGTTCTGCATCCTGTTCTGCGTGGGAGGGATTTCGACGGAGGTTTTAGTCAATTTTGTCCCCCTTGGGCTTTGTTGGAGAGCCTGCTAATCATGAATCGTTCTCCACAGTGGTAAACAAGAGGCCTTCCCAACTGTAGCGCAGTTGGCTTCTCTGCTACGTCTGTCTTTTGCACCTCAACAGACCGTTCCTGCCATCATCCTCCTGCTTAAAAAAACTGGAGGCAAAAATGGTTCAGAGAAACTGAGGCACATACCGGATTCGGGGGCGGGGGAAGGGCAGCTTAGCATCCAAAATAAGAACTGCTGCCCATGGCCGTGATCTGTGCCGATTGCTGTTTACTTATTTGTTAGCTGGTTGGCAAGTCCCATTGATCTCCAGCCCTTGGCCAAGTAAGCTCCCGTCTATATATGTGGCTGCCTCCTCCTCCCCTTCCCGGTCTTCAGCCTCACAACAGTACCTGAGGGAAGAAAAGGAATGGCACACCATTGACTCCGTTTACAGACGGGACTTTTGTTTTTAGTGGTTTTAAGTGTGTGTGTGTGTGTGTGTGTGTGTGTGTGTGTGAGAGAGAGAGAGAGAGAGAGAGAGCAAACGTGTTATTGTTTGCCAGGCTTTCAAACTATGGGAGATGTTTAAGGAATGACTTGGCATTGCCAACTCCCATTGAGTCTCCATGGTCAGCGGAGATTTGGACCCTGGTCTCCTGAGTAGAGATGGGCATGCACCAGTTCGTTTATTGGCCAAACAGGTGTTTGGTACTTCAGAGCCCTGCCTCCCCTGGCAGGCGCCCACTCAGGGGCCAGGCCTAGAGGAGGCGGGGCAGTGAAGGTGGGGGCTTTGAAGCGCCAAACCCCTGTTTAGCCAATCAATGAACTGGCAGAAATTGCTCATCTCGACTTCCGAGTCCTTAGTCTGTCATGCTACCCACTAGACAAAACTGAATCAATGAACTGGCAGAAATTGCTCATCTTGACTTCTGAGTCCTTAGTCTGTCATGCTACCCACTACACAAAACTGGATTGTGTGTGTGTGAGAGAGAAGGTGTGTTTGTGTCTCCCCACCTTTTAAACATATCTAATCGGGTTAAACACAGTGGTCTTTTCCACACTACTGACAGTGTAGACCAAAGCCCTCCTCTTAAATATTGTGGCCGAACATTTATTTGAACCCTGGTGTCTCTGTGGTCCTATTTTGAGACTTTTAACCACTAGCTCAGACTGCCCGTTAAAATATAGTTTCTATTCATGGATGGCTCTGGTTTTGATGCCCCCTTTGCTTTTTTCCAGTCACCCAACATGGGCACCCTGATGGGGGTATATCTGCCGTGCATGCAGAATATTTTTGGGGTCATCCTCTTCCTTCGGCTGACGTGGATGGTCGGAACGGCGGGGGTTTTGCAGTCCTTCCTCATCGTCTTAATTTGCTGCTGCTGCGTGAGTACCTCCCTCCGCTGCACTTCGCCTCTCCGTGCGATGCTTTCCAGTCCCCCTTGTTGCTTCATAAGATCTCTTGCCTCAGCCATGCAAGGATTCTTGTATCCTGAGATAAAAAGAAAATAGCTGGTGATTCATTCTGCGCGTGTTTGTAGCCTTGGGAGGGCTGCTAAACTGGGCAGAGCTACGTGGTGGCGCTGCGGTTTAAACCACAGAAGCCTCTGTACTGCAAGGTCGGAAGACCAGCCGTCGTAAGTTCGAATCCACGTGATGGAGTGAGCTCCCGTTGCTTGTCCCAGCCGACCTAGCAGTTTGAAAGCATGTAAAAATGCGAGTCGATAAATAGGGACCACCTCAGTGAGAAGTTAACAGCATTCTGTGTCTAGTCGCACTGGCCACGTGACCATGGAAACTGTCTACGGACAAACGCTGGCTCTACAGCTTGGAGATGGGGATGAGCCCCACGCCCTAGAGTCAGACATGACTGTACTCAATGTCAAGGAGAACCTTTACCTTTACCTTACAGCCTTTCTGAGTCTGTGTGTGTGCCTTAATTAGAACCCCGAGGTCTTTCCTGAGAAAAATCATGCCTGCAGAGAAAGCGGCCCGACACACTGAATGCTGAGAACAAAGGAAGAAGGGTGTCTCTGAGCACCAGCTGAGTTCAGGGATATGTTCTAGTGCTAGTATCACAAGCAGATATGCTCCTGGTTTGCCCCAAAACTTTCTCCACTTACTCAGTCTCACTTAGTGGTCAGAACATCTTTGTGTTGTCGTTCTTGTTAAACAATCAGGAGTCAGAAGTCCTTGCCCAACAAACCACCTTCTACGAAATCTAGCAGTTAATTGTCATGTATCTTATATCCAACTCTGGTTTAAAGTAGTGTGTTTTTCTCTCTTCTCCCTTTCTGTCCTATTTCCAGCAAAGTTGAAGCTAGTTGTAGAGATAAAGCTGGTCTTTCATGGACGTCTGTAGAGGAAGGCTGGGCACAATAATAGCATGGTGTCCACCCTAATAGATAAACAAAGAGGTGGGAATGATGAAGGGTAGCGGGTGTTGGGCAAACGCATTGGCTAGAAAAGCCCATCCCTGCCAAGGTGGGGTATGACTTTCTTTTTATAGGAATGACGGGCATCCAACGCAGAAGGAACCAGGGCATATACAATGTTAGATTTTAGGAATCTGTTTGGCACCTTTTCCATAAATCAACCTCTGACTGGGGAAGGCTTGGATTTTCAGTGGCTGTCCAGAACAGAAGCTGGCTGGATAGCTCAGTGGTTGCAGGAACAGAGGCTGGGAGTCCTATTCCCTACTGGACCTCCTGCGCGTAGAGACAAACTGTCTGGCCCCGGGGCAAGCTGCACATTCTTAGGGCGCTTCCGGAAGAACGGAATGATAAGCTACTTTTGAGTATTGTACCTGAAAAAAGCCCAAAAAGGGTTGCCACAAGCCAGAATTGACTTGAGGGCTGATGATGATCAGAAACACGCAGGAGAGCGCATGCACATAGATAGACATATCTTTGAAGAATGCAAGTGGTTTTTATCAATAATGCAATGTGTTCTGTGCATTTTCCGCATGCATTTGAGTTTCTGCTGTCATCGTGTCAATTGTAGTAAAATAAGGAGGAAGTGATGTAGAGATCCACCAATGGAATGATGCATGTCCGTACCTGGGGATCTCTGTCTTAAGGGTAAACCATATGCGGTCCTCCGGTCCCACTGTGCAAAGCTTAACTGGTGAAATACTCTTCTTCTCCCATTCTTAGACCATGCTGACGGCCATATCAATGAGTGCTATTGCGACCAATGGCGTGGTTCCAGGTACGGTCCATCTCACGCGTTATAAATGCAGTTCTTCGTGTCTTTGGAGTCGTGGGTGAATGACGTGGCATTGAGGGAACGCCTCTCAAAGAAACACGGCTGTATTCCGTGAATCCTTACAATGGAATAAATCTGCCACAAGACTTTGGTTTTACATTTTTGATTATGTTTGACATAAAGATTGGAGGCACATGTTCTTTAAGGCTGAAACTCCCTGGAGAGGGTGGCACTCTTGTGCATTAACTTTTGGAGGTCATTGGTAGAGGTCTCCTGCTAAATAACCTCCCTCGGACTGTGGTTCCCCAAACCTGGTTTTCCTGCTGGTGCCAGGCTTCAGAAGTCATGTACAGCAGGTCAGGTGGTCAGGGATGCTGGGGGGTGGTGTTCAGCACCATCTAGAGACTCTGGTTTGGGAACAACTGCACTAGGGTTTGCATGGAGATCTCAGAGAACCCAAATGAGTGACCGCCTTGCAAAACACATTTGTCAATGTTAATTTGGATAGGAAATTAGCCCTATCCAAAGGTTTCATTTCTGACGTGGTGGCGCTGCGGGCTAAACTGCAGAAGCCTGTGCTGCAGGGTCAGAAGACCAGCAGTTGTAAGATCGAATCCACGGGACGGAGGGAGCTCCTGTCGCTTCTCCCAGCTCCTGCCAACCTAGCTGTTCGAAAGCATGCAAATGCAAGTAGATAAATAGGGACCACCTCGGTGGGAAGGTAACAGCGTTCCGTGTCTAAGTCGCACTAGCCATGTGACCATGGAAGATTGTCTTCGGACAAAACGCTGGCTCTATGGCTTGGAAACGGGGATGAGCACCGCCCCCTAGAGTCGAACACAACTGGACAAAAATTGTCATGGGGAACCTTTACCTTTACTTTAAAGGGTTCATTTCCAGTTGAACACGACTGGACAAAAATTGTCATGAGGAACCTTTACCTTAAAAGGTTCATTTCTGTCTTGGGCAAAATTCAAGCTTCTCCCTTTTGTATATTCTGGATTTTAGGATTTGACCTTTTTTTGCCTAACTAGCCAAGGTGGGTGGTGCTGTGAAATGTATCCCATGTAGATCCCTGAGCTAATGTAACAATAATGATCTCTATTGCACAGGGCACAGATTCCCCCGAGGCAGCTTATTACAACCCTGTCATTCTTATCAGCATCCTGACATCTGGGTCCCATTTGCACAGCAGAATTTCTCTTCCCCATGGTTATGAAAGTAACTTTGCAAATGTAAAGGCACTGTGATCTCAGAGCTTTGATCACGCCCCCAGGCAATGCGTGCTTGAGTTGGCGTATGTTGGCGTATATCTGTTGCACCCGGTGTTAGGGATATTAGCTTGAAAATCAAGTCGCTTCAAAGCTGCGAGTCTTACTTTGAAGCATATGATCCTTTGCTGTCCTTAAGTAACCTGAACAGCACCGATTTGGGGTGCAAAATAGCAAGTAGGGGGTGAGCAGAACAGAGCCAAGCCACTCTCTATGGAATAGGCAATCTGATGGCAAGTCCGTCCAGATGTTTTAGATCACAGCTCCCAGAACTTCGGGCTGTTGGCCACGCTGGGGGATTCTGGGCACATCTGGAGGATGTCAGGTTGAGAAAAGCTGTTGTGTTTATTTGCATTTCCTCGCTAGTAGGCTGCTCAATGCAGTTATCAGAATGCTTATTTTCAGTGTGCACAGAGAAAAATAATAAGTGCAAAAAATATAAAGCCATGTTGACTTGTGTTATCTGTGAAATGTTTAATCTCTGGGCCCTGGGGGGCCTTTCTCTCTCTCTCTCTTTTTCCTCCCCCTTCTAGCTGGTGGTTCCTACTTCATGATCTCCAGATCATTGGGTCCCGAATTTGGTGGAGCAGTGGGGCTGTGTTTTTACCTGGGGACAACCTTTGCTGGCGCGATGTATATCCTCGGGGCGATTGAAATTCTGCTAGTAAGTGGGAACTGGTGGATTCTAGAAGGAAATGCCCTACGGAACATCCTTTAAAAGATGTTTGCTGTTGTAGAGATATCATAAAACAGAGTTCTAACCTTTTTTCCAGACATACATTGCACCCCAAGCCGCCATATTTCACCCAACTGGTGCCCACGACAGTTCCAATGCCACTCTGAACAACATGCGCGTCTACGGTACTTTATTCCTCACGTTCATGGCCGTGGTGGTCTTCGTCGGCGTGAAATACGTGAACAAGTTTGCTTCCCTGTTCTTGGCTTGTGTCATTATCTCCATCTTGGCCATCTACGCCGGGGCAATCAAATCCATCTTCGACCCACCTTTATTTCCGTAAGTTATACTTCTGCAAAATCTCTTCCCCGTAATCAACCTGGTCCTTGAAGGGTTTCCCTCTGGATTTATTTTTGTTTGACTGGGTACCTTCCCCCAGTGGGCTTGTGATCTGGAACAGGCAGTGGAGAAATGAAACGGAGAGCGAGAGAGAAGGAGAAACAAGGAGGGATAACTCTAAGATGATGATGAGACTTTGGAAACCTACCTGCTGAAAGATGAGCCTGTTGCAGGCACTTGGGAGAGTGGAGACAGGACTCCCCGGGTAGAAGAGCGAAGAGATTTTGAGAGACTCCCTTCCTGAAAGCTCTCTGTTCCCCAGTGAGATTGCCTGCAGTTGTTACAGCAACGGAGGGGGAAACGGGTTTTTCCAAAACCTGTAGAGTGTTGTGAGCTTGCCGATTTGTGCTGCAAAATATTTCTGAAGGAGGAGGAACTAAGACCAATTGGCTTTACAAAAGACTCACTCCTGGAACCGTGGGAAACTGCTAGGACGGGTTTGTCGATACAGACCAACGCTGCTCCCTGATCTCTTTCAGAGAGCCACAAACGTGGCTTTCTCCATGTGCAGAGGGACTTGTCTCTAAAAGGAAAAATTCCTGCTTGCGTTTTGATCCTACACACTGGCAAGAACTGACATTTCCTAGGCTTCTCGCTCGCTTTGAAATCCTATGCATGAGCATGAGTGTCTCGCGGCTTTCTCCAAGTAAGGGGAGGGACCTAACTGTGTAGATTTAACATACCGGCCAAGCCTCCCCAGTTCGACTGGGTTCTTGCTCACGCGGAGGGCCAACGCATGAGCAGGGATGGTCTTTCTAGCTTTCTCCGTGGTCAGGATGAAGCCAAAGGGCTCTTAAGAGTGGCGATTCTGTCCATACAGATAATGCCCGAAATGGGCTGGTGGAGGGCCAACACTTCAACATTTACCAATGCAACATGGTCATTAGCAATTGATTGCACTGATGATGTCAATCCAGGTGCAGTCCACCTCTGAATGAGAATTACTATGCAAAAAATGGCAGAGGAATCCAAACTGGCCTTGTATTGGGTTCATGAGCTTCACTGAGATGTCTGGTTGGCCACGGAGGGTAGTGGGATCTAGATCTAAACGCCCAGCTGGGTTGGGTCCAGGAAAGCTTGTTTGCTTTTCTTCTGTTTTAAGAAAAACGAAATCGTTCTGCACTTTTTGAAGAACACAATGGCCGAGAGGGGTGTGTGGGGGTAGGGGGAGGTCTACGTGACCTAAGAAAGGTTCTTTTTCTGAATTACTGCTCTCGGAATCCCCGGGGAAGGATTTAGCCTCATAGAGTTGTAGTCAAGAAAAGAAAAAAAGCAAGGATGAATTTTCTCCAGCTGTGGTTTGATACCTGCAAAATGTAAGATATCAGAAAAGGCTGAACTTCTTTTCTCCCCAGGGTTTGTATGCTTGGCAACCGGACTCTTTCAAGGGACCAGTTTGATATCTGTGCCAAAACCACCGTGGTGGACAACGTCACCGTGCCGACCAAACTGACCGAGCTCTTCTGTCCCGGCTTCAACGTAACCTCTGAAGCCTGCGATAAATACTTCGAGTCCAACGATGTGATGGAGATTGTGGGGATTCCTGGAGCCGCCAGCGGGATTTTGAATGGTACAGAGAAAGAACTGAATGGGGCGGGCTTTGATGTTTGCTTTCTTTTCCAAATGTTAGAGAAGGGCCTGAAGCCCTTTGCCAGAAGAAAAGGTGACCCGTTCCATCCCTGGCGTCTCCCATTTAGATCTGCTGGTGGGAAGGACTTTGGTTGGAAGAGAGAGAGAGCTGCTTCCGAGCACCGTTGAGTGAGATTGGGCTGGACTCACTCCAGAGGTCTAGGACTACGTGGACCTCAAACCTGGAACTTGGCCCTCTAGTGGCCAAAATATATATATATTAAAATTCTTTATCGGTATTGGTAAAGGTAAAGGTTCCCCTTGACAATTTTTGTCCAGTCGTGTTCGACTCTAGGGGGCGGTGCTCATCCCCGTTTCCAAGCCATAGAGCCAGCGTTTTGTCCGAAGACAATCTTCCGTAGTCACATGGCCAGTGCGACTTAGACACGGAACGCTGTTACCTTCCCACCGAGGTGGTCCCTATTTATCTACTTGCATTTGCATGCTTTCGAACCGCTAGGTTGGCGGGAGCTGGGACAAGCGACGGGCGCTCACTCTGTCGCGTGGATTCGATCTTACGACTGCTTGGTCTTCTGACCCTGCAGCACAGGCTTCTGCGGCTTAGCCCGCAGCGCCACCACGTCCCTCAGTGCCACCACCTTCCTTCCTTATTGGTATTGAAGACCCTTCAAAACAGGGAAGAATGGGATTTTCTGAGCAACAATGCTTTTTGCAAAAAAATGTAGATGGAAGGGTACTGGGGGCTGCATTTGAGCCCCTGGAAGGCCATGCGTCATCCACATATGGTATTTTATCCACCTCTAAGCTAAAGGAGCCCTTGTTGTTGTTGTTTAGTCATTAAGTCGTGTGTGACTCTTCGTGACCCCATGGACCAGAGCATGCCAGGCCCCCCTGTCTTCCACTGCCTCCTGGAGTTGGGTCAAATTCATGTTGGTCTCTTCGATGACACTGTCCAACCATCTCGTCCTCTGTCGTCCCCTTCTCCTCTTGCCTTCACCCTTTCCCAACATCAGGGTCTTTTCCAGGGAGTCTTCTCCCTTGGCCTCAGTCTAATATAACCTCCTGCATTCCTCTTTAAATCTTCCCTTTGTGAAGCAGCATTAGAACTAGACTCTTGCTTTATTTTGGGAAATAAAAGAAGGGCTGTAGCTCAGAGACGATGTGTCTGTTTCATTCAAAAGGATCTGTCCCAAACAGCTCTGAGATGGATAACTGGGCTAGGGATCATAGTGCAAGGCCGCTTTCCATCTGGGCATGTTTAGCCTTGAGAAAAGAAGATGGAGGGGAGAGAGGAGAGCCCTTTTCAAATTCTTGAAAGCCTGTCCTGCAGGGGAGGGAGCAGATCTGTTCTCGATCATCCCGGAAGGCAGGGGACACAATAATGGGCTCAAGCAGCAGGAAGCCAGATTTAGGCTGAATTATCAGGGGGAAAAAAACTTCTTCACTGTTAGAGCAGTACGAGAATGGGACCCATTTCTCCAGGAGGTGGTGAGTGCTCAAACACTGGAGGCATTCAAGAGAAATTTTAAACAACCACCTGGCAGATCTGCTTTGATTTGGGGTCCTGCCTTGAAGCAGGGAGGGACGTGGTGGCGCTGTGGGCTAAACCGCAGAAGCCTGTGCTGCAGGGTCAGAAGACCAAGCAGTCGTAAGATCGCATCCACGTGATGGAGTGAGCTCCCGTCGCTTGTCTCAGCTCTCGTCAACCTAGCAGTTCGACAGCATGCAAATGCAAGTAGATCAATAGGGACCACCTCAGTGGGAAGGTAACAGCATTCTGTGTCTAAGTCGCACTGGCCATGTGACCACGAAAGACTGTCTTCGGACAAAACGCTGGCTCTATGGCTTGGAAACGGGGATGAGCACCGCCCCCTAGAGTCGAACACGACTGGACAAAAATTGTCAAGGGGAACCTTTTCCTTTACCTTGAAGCAGGGGATTGGACTCAATGGCCTTAGAGGCCCCTTCCCATTCAAGCATTCTATGATTCTGTGTTCCTAATATATTTTTAAATAGAGCCTCAGCAATTTGTGCTGTAGGTTATGTGGTAGAAGAAGGCATGGGCTCTGTTTCCAGAAAGCCTACAATCCAAAGTTTCGCACAGAGCGGGCGTGTGTGGAAACAACGGTGCGATTCTGCCTGTTTCTTTACTCTTCTTTCCAGCTGCAACATGCCCACACCCAGGCCTAATCATTACATGGTGCATTAAAATATGCCTATCAAGTAAGGAGTCATTATTTGGCATCAAACACTCCTCAATATTTAATAGCTTGCATTTCTTTTTTTTAAGAAATAAAAAGTGGAGACATTTTAAAGAATGCTTAATTCTGTGCTTGTTCCTCATGCCTGAGACGGGTCTGAGCCAGCCTGCCAGAATACCACATTTTGAGCCCAGCTTTGCAGCAAAGCGGTTGGCATCTAGCTTGTTTGCCCTTTGCCCCTGTAGCCAGGCAGGTAAAACAAGGAGGAAGCAAGTCATAATGTGGGTTTGCAGAATTCAGAGAATCTCGGAATTCTTTTAGAAGACAAGTTTCTTGTTATCAAACCAGGCTTTTAAAGTGTGTTGGCAATGTTGACATTTAAGAGGAATTTCAGAATAGGGTCTTCCTTAGTCGGGAGAAAAGGAATAGGGGCCCGTGGTTAAACTCTGTGGCTTTCCCCGTGGCTAGCAGCAAAAGAACAAATTACACAGGGTAATTCAAACACAGATGGCTTTATCCGAGTAATTTATGCCTGTTGCAGAAACCAGGTGTTCTTGGTACAGAATTTAAACTGCAAGACAAAAAACAAATTGGAGCTATCCTGTAGAGAGACCAAAGTCTCAGCAAGACATAGGCCATTTTAAAACTGCAATAAATTTGCATGTATTATGTATCATCCTCTCTTTCACAACTAGATAGAGTTTGAACAACTTTGCCATGGATTTTACTGACTGTTTCACTCTGTGCTCCTGATGGCTTTGTTCATCCTGCCAGAGAATACCTGGAGCAATTACATGGAGAAAGGAGAGATCCTGGAGAAAGCGGGCCAGCCCTCCGTCGACGTGGTCGGACAGAAGAGCAATCTCCACCTCTACGTTTATGCCGACATTGCCACTTCCTTTACTGTGCTCGTCGGCATTTTCTTCCCTTCTGTGACAGGTGAGAACGTGGAAAGGGCGAACGTCGTCTCTGGGCTTCCACGCTTTGCGTTGTGATGGTTAAAAAGCACGATTCTGTGTTCTTTCCTTCAAAGGGATCATGGCCGGCTCAAACCGCTCCGGAGACTTGAAGGATGCCCAGAAGTCTATTCCCGTTGGAACGATCCTAGCTATTGTCACTACCTCTCTAGTTTGTATCCTTTAAAAGGAAAAAAAAGTGGGGATCCTGGAAAAATCTCATTGCATAATCACTGGAGGAGCAGAGAAGGAAGGGGATTTTAGGCGTGTCTTGGTTGCAGGGGTGGCACCAGTTACACTGGTGTGGCTTATTGCTGTGGCTCGTGGTGAGCGGGAGCCACATAAAGGAGGGGGAGACCCATGTTGATTATGGACCGTGGGCCATCAAGAATGCACACAGAACTTTTGTATGCATGCATTTTATTTTATATGCTGCCTTTCTCCCCATTTTGAGACCCAAGGTGGCTCATAACAAAAAAAAGATTAAAAACACAATATAAATGACACATTAAAAAAACAATTAAACATACATTAAGATTAAAACAATCAAGTACAGTATATATATTAAAAAAAAACTGAAAAGCATTTAAAAATTTTGTAAGTTCAATGCCAGCGTTCCTGAGACAACTTACTGCTTAAAAGCCTACTTAAAGCAGAAGGCCTTTGCCTGCTGACGGGAGGACGAGAGGGAGGGGGCCAACCCTGGTTTCCGGGGGGCAACACATTCCAAAGCCTGGGAGCCACTACCGAGAAGGCCCCGTCTCGTGTCCTCATCAAGCCAGCTTGGTGGAAGCCAGAGAAGGGCCTCCCCAGAAGATCTTAGAAGCCGAGAAGGCTCGTTGATGGAGGGTCTGTGCTTGAAGGAATGTGCCGTTTGGGGGACTCTTCCAAAATCAGCCTGGCTTCCTTAACCGAATGTTCGCCTTCAGATTTCAGCTGTGTCCTGCTGTTTGGAGCATGTATTGAAGGTGTTGTGCTGAGAGATAAGTAAGCAACCATTGTACAGCTCTTTGGCTTTTGCGGGCAAGAAAATGTGGCCTGTCCTTTATATCATATCATGCCCTTTCTCTCTTTAGCGGTGAAAAGAGACAATTTTCTGAGGTGTCGTATGTGTTGTTTTCTCATTGCGGAAGCGGCTTGCTACTGCCAGTTGTTAACACAAGAAGGGACTCTGCAATTCCATGTCAGTGTAGAAAACAACAGGTTGTTTAGCCATGGGTTCAGCTGAGAATTTGAAGTTCTACTTTTCTTTTGAGAAAAAGGGCAAGGTTCTAGCTCTCAGTGATAACTTACTCTTTTACTGCCTTCCTCACTTCTTCCAATCTCTTTTCCTTCCTACCTTCCTTCCTCACTTCCTCCAATCTCTTTTCCTTCTTCATCACTTCACTTCCTCCAATCTCTTTTCCTTCCTTCCTTCCTTCCTTCACTTTATCCACCTCCCTGTGTTTGCTTATTGGTTAGTTAGCTTGTAACACTTACATTGCATCCTTCTGCTGATAAATAATGGTCAGAGTAGCTAGCAAATACTACTAAACAGATTAAAAACAAAGTTCACAGATTTAATTATTAAAAAAATTAAAAAACGGATTGGACAGTGACACAATTAAAATAATAAAAGTTCATCACAACAATTTAAAAAGCAGTTTAAAAAGGCCAGTTGCTTGTCATTTTTGTCATGTTTCTGAAGTGTAGAGAAAAATATAGCACTGCGTTTTGTGGTTACACCAAGCCAGCTATGACTTTCCATCCACAGTGGTGACTAATGTTTGCTTCCTCTCTCTATTTATCCTACGTCAATGGGACTGACCTATGGATTTATTTTTATTTTGATATTTTTAGTGTCAACCTTGTTCCCTGGAAGCCAGGAGTTTACATGGTTGCTGCTGTTCAATATTTTACGATGTTCTGTTTCACAATGTTTCATTTCTAGTTTTATTCCCTTCCCCGTTTGCTGCCTTGGGAATTTACATACCAGAACAGCTTCTCAGTCTCCCAAATCAATGCCTTCACACCAACCTTGTGAGGTAGACTAAGCCTTCATGAGTGGCCCAGGCTCAGACTGTTCCTCTTTGGTGTGCAGAGACCTGAACCCAGAACTCCCGGCCTGCAACCAACATTTCCTATCTCTCAGCACCACAGTGGCGTTGTGCTGCACCTCACAAGATATTGCATCTGAATTTGGAAGAGAGGGTCTGATGGGACATTGGGGGAGGGGGGAAGAGAGAACAGAGTCTTGTGGAGCCTTGAAGACAAAGTTTATGCAGCTGCTGGGCTGCAAACCCATGACAACTTGTTTGTCTTAAAAGATGCCGCAGGACTCTTCATTCATGAACACAACCAGCCACTTGGAAACATCAGAAAATGCTTTGTGATGCAGTGGTTAAACTGCAGTTGTTTAGTCATTGTGTCCGACTTTTTGTGGCCCCATGGACCAGAGCACGCCAGGCCCTCCTGTCTTCCACGGCCTCCCAGAGTTGGGTCAAATTCATGTTGGTTGCTTCGATGACACTGTCCAGCCATCTCGTCCTCCATCGTCCCCTTTTCCTCTTGCCCTCACACTTTCCCAACATCTGGGTCTGCAGCCCAAACTCTGCTCACACCCTGGGGTTCAATCCCAGGGAGCCGGCTCAAGGTTCTCACAACCTGGGGTTCAATCCCAGGGAGCCGACTCAAGGTTTTCTCAGCCTTCCATTCTTCTGAGGTCTGTAAATTGAGTACCCAGCTTGCTGAGACCAGGAGGCTATGTGTAGCCTGCATCAATTCAATGGTAAACCCACACAGAGAGTGGATTTTTAGTGCTATGGGGTGAGATATAAGCAGCAGGGCTTAGATTGTTTCATCCATAGATGAATGTTGTTTCTTCCGTAAATTGAGTACCCAGCTTGCTGAGACTGGGAGGCAGTGTGTAGCCTGCATCAATTCAATTGTAATCCCACCCAGAGAGTGGGTTTTTAGTGCTATGGGGCGAGATATAAGCAGCAGGCTTTTTCTTTTTGTTTTGTTTCTTAAATTACATTATGGGGGGGGGAGTTTAGATTGTTTCATCGATAGATGAATGTTGTTTATCATCGTCCTCCTTACAGGTATGGCGATGCGGTCAACAAGAACTTAGTCGTGGGCACCCTTGCCTGGCCTTCACCCTGGGTCATTGTGATTGGCTCCTTTTTTTCTACTTGTGGGGCGGGTCTGCAGAGCCTCACGGGGGCCCCACGGCTCCTTCAAGCCATTGCCAAGGACAACATCATTCCTTTCCTGCGGGTAAGTACACACGCGGCCCCATTTTCCCTCTTTCCTGAGTGTGAAGAGGAGGAAATGGTTGTGTTGGGTTTTGTCCTGTATTTTTTTTAAAGAAAAAGATCTGTAGATGGTGAGAAATCTAAAATCTTGAAAGGGGACATCCCTTGAATGCCAGAAAAAAAAAGAAGCACTAGGTTTTGAGCTCCTGGGTCTGTTTTTCAGGCAGGATCTGGCCCAAAAGGGTGGGTGCAGGGGGAAACCAGGGCCTATAGCAAATTAAAACAAGATGGAATGGCAAGGTACAGTTTGCAAACTGGAAACTTCAGTTCAAATTGGGCTCATCAGGTATCAGGCGGGCCCCGAGAATATTCCTTAGGCTTGCCGGGAAAAGGAAAAACAGCAAAAGGGACTATGGTTTGATTCTTCATTTGCAACTATATTAAAGCCCCCTCTAAATATTAACCCTCAAATTCCAGATTCTGTTTCTTTTGAAGAATTTTTTTCAGAGGCCATTAAAACAGAACGGATGCAAATGCTTAAAATGGGGACGGGGAGTGTGTTTGCCCCTCCCCACGCCAATTCCCATCAGCCCTACTGACTTGTATAATCCATGGTGGGGGGTGATGGAAATTGTAGTCTGGAGCACCTAAAAATGGGTGGAGGAGGCATATCAGCATAATTGGACTGAGAGCGCTTCTTGCAGCACCCCCCCAAAGGGTTGCACGTCCCCCGTCTTTGCTTTCTGTGGGTCTTTGAAAGCTCACTCTGTGTTTAAGGTCAGACGATGAGGAAAAGGCTCATGGGGTTCCTCTGTCTCTCCTCCTTCCCAGGTGTTTGGCCACGGCAAGGCCAATGGCGAACCCACGTGGGCCCTGCTCTTAACAGCCGTGATTGCAGAACTTGGCATTCTGATCGCGTCTCTCGACATGGTGGCCCCCATCCTCTCCATGTGAGTTTTCAGATTCTTGCAGGACAACTTTTGTTTGTGCTGCGTGAGAACGGATTTGCACCGACGGCGATCGTGCATTCCACCCCCAGGGAAGACCCTCCCACTCGAATTCAGCTGAAAGATAGCCCTGAATTTGCAACGGGTGACAGATCCCGGGGAGAAGGGGAAAAACAGCCTCCGGCCCTTTTGGCAAGAAAAGCAAATGCGCTTCTCTTTGGGCTGTGCAAGTGTTTGGAAGGACACGAACGCAGGATGCCCAAAATCCTGGTCTTCAGCATGGTAAATTATTCTAGACTCATCCCCCAAATCAGTGAGGATTTGGTGACTCCGTTTCTTTGTCAGGCCATCGATTTAGTCGGGACTTGCTTTATCATAATAAGTTGCAACTAGAGTAGGCCCATTCAACTTAAGGAAACTTAAAGAGAAATAGACTCACCCAATCCCCACGAATTCAACAGGCCTACTCTAGCCAACTAGAGTAGGCCCATTCAACTTAAGGAGAAATAGACTCACCCAATCCACACGAATTCAACAGGTCTACTCTAGCGCACGTTACTGTGCTAAGCAATAGGATTTCAGTTGTTATCATTGTTTATTCTTTTTTCTTATTGCAAGTTACTATGCTAAGCAACAGGATTTCGGTTGTTATCATTGTTTATTCTTTTTTCTTCTTATTAAAAAAAATATGAGACATTTCTTTACTGGTATTATATAACAGGTACAAGTTTTAACTAATATTTAACTAAGTATCAGTTAAATATTGGTGTAATATATACGTTAATCCAAATATAGCCACTTTTTTTGCAGCTCTGATGGTGTCATTTCTGAAACCTGCAGCTGCTTATAATATTTTATAAAATTCCATGACGTTGTTCCCAGTGCCATGATGAGGATTATCGTGAGGATGATGATTTATGTACTGCCTTTCTCCTGGCGTGGTGGTCCTTTTGAGAGGATGGCAGCAGTTTCTACTTTTATGGCTGCAAAATCTGGTTGCAGAATGTAAGCTTCTGTCTCCCCCTAGTGGTGGGCTCAAAAACATTGTCTTAAGCAAAAGTGCTTAGGGTGCCACCTGCAGGTAGGAGGAAGCAAATGTCACTGCTAAGCCTCATTGCTTGGAAGGTTTCTTTCTGGACTGCATTTCCCAGAACCCTCTCAGTCTGCATGGTCAGCAACTCTGCTGAGTGAGGGGCTTGCATCTATCAAAAGAACTTTTCTGAACTCTGGAAAAGAGTTCTGCAGTGGCCTTCTAAATAATACATGTATATACCAAGGTGGCGTACAGTATTAAAAACAAACAGTTTTAAGAGCTAAAACACAATAAATTGTTACAGTATTTAGAAAGAATTAAACAGATGCAAGATTAAAACAGGTAGGTAGAAACAGTTCTAAAAGCACTTTATTGGTTGATTGCTCAAAACCATAGATCATCGCAATATAGTTCTTTAAAAATGCACTAAAAACAGCAGTACAACCACCCCATTTTAAGAACTCCCTCCTAGGCAGAGCAGGCAGCTGAGGACAGAAATCATGGCAAATGTATGTGTGTTCTGTGCCAATGGACATTATTTTATTTAATTAAAAGAATGTTACTCCACCTTTCTCCTGAAAAAGTGACCCAGTGTGGCTTTCATCATAAAAAACACAGTATTAAAAGCTAAAAATAGTAAATTATTCAAACATTTCAAAAAACAAAATAAACATTATATTAAAAATTTTAGATAAAACATTGCTAAAATAATGAGCTTTACTAAAATAATGTTCACCAGAGTAGAGTCAAGAGTTCTGACTCCTTTCCTCTGAAGATGCCGGCCGCAGAGACTGGCGAAACGTCAGGAAGAAAAACCTCCAGAACAGCCCGGAAAACCCACAACCGCCATCAGATCCCGGCCATAAAAGCCTTCGAGAACACATTACTAAAATAGATTTAGGAGAAACAAAATGCAAACCATCTCAATTTAAAACATTTTCTAGCCAGTCAGTCACCAAGGAAAAGTTGGAAGAGAAAAGTCTTTGCTTGCATGTGCAAGGACAGCAAAGATGGGGCCAGGCTGGCCTCCAGTGGGAGGGAGTTCCAGAGTCTAAAGGAGCAAGCACAGAGAAGGCCCTCACCCGTATCCCCACCAAAGGGGTGGGACTGAGAAGAAAGCCTCTCCTGATGATCTCAACATCCAAGCCAGATGGTAGAGGGAAAAGGCGGTCGTTGAGAAAGCTTGGACCCAACCCGTTTAGGGCTTTACAAGTCCAAACAAGCACTTTGAATTGTGCCTGGAAATGGACACAATCCTGAGGGCACCGGTTTCACTGAGGTCAACATGGGAGGGGAGGAGGCAGAGTTCCTTCTTGCAATTCTGGTGGGTGTCAGCCTCCATATGATGCTTCTCTCATGTCTCCCTCGCACCCTTCCCATATCCTCTTGCTCACAGGTTTTTCTTGATGTGCTACTTATTTGTCAACTTGGCCTGCGCAGTGCAAACCCTTCTGAGAACTCCCAACTGGCGACCCAGGTTCAAGTACTACCACTGGTAAGTTTTGCATAAAAGGAGGCAAAGGGGAGGTGGCTGGCTTCCGACCTCCTTGGGTGTTTTCCTTGGGCTCTTGAGCGTTGAGCTAGAGACTTTTGGAGAGATGAGGAGACTATAACTTCAATCTCTGGTGAACAAACTGGGCTGTCTTATCATCCAGAATCCTATCCCTTAGCTTTCTTCCATATCACAGTCTATTGGAGAAGGTGAGAAAAAAGGCCTTCTGGTTGTTTTTAAGCAACAAGAGGTCAAAAGAGCCGTGGTGATCTGTATCGGATCATCCAGTGGTCTTCCGGTGGATCAGCATTTAATTTCTGCCCCTCTCTGGCCTAAAAAGGTTGTTCATATGACCTGGGGGTCATGTTTTTTATTTTATTTGCTAACTCGTTTGCCAGATGACAGGGTTTTCATTACCAGTGACCATCACGTTCTTGAACTCAGATGCCAGCACACTGGCCGAATCCAGGAGCTGGCGGCCAAGTCTGAAATCCAGTCACATTGTTGCTATGGTGACCATTAGGGTGTAACTTCTGGATGCCTGTTGACCAATCTGGAATGGTGGCCCACGAGCAAGCAGGATGGCTAAGAGCCTTCAGAAAATGTTTCTTGAGCGTGATTCGTACGCTCAAGTCCGTGGCATAAAGGCAGCTACCATATCGGTTGACTAGTTTATTCAAACAGGCGAGTGGTTCCCAATCTTGGGTCCCCAAATGTTCTTGGACTAAAACTCCCAGAAGCCTTCACCCACTAGCTGTGCTGGCCAGGATTTCTGGGAGTTGTTGTCCAAGAACATCTGGGGTCGCAAGGTTGGGAAACACCAACACAGACCAAAATATGGTGGTGGGATATTTCAGATAAGGCTGTAGATCATGGGGATCTATATGCCCTGGGGTGTCAGAGATACTGGACCGGACATGCCATTGGCCAGATATAGCATGGAGGTTCTTCTTACATTCTCATGACCACTGACACAGTATTCTATTTATTTAAAATATTTTGACTCCGCCTTTCTCCTTAAAAAGAACTCAAGGCAATATCGGCATTCTTGTGACTTGCACCACAACGGACACCGTATTTCCCAGCTGAATCTGTTCACACAAGCCTCAGAGTCTCAAGGAGTGCCCATAGATGTGTCCTTTGCTTTGACATTCGAACTTCTTCTTTTTTTCCTCCCTGCAGGGCCTTGTCGTTTTTAGGGATGAGTATCTGTCTCGCCCTGATGTTCATCTCCTCCTGGTATTATGCTTTAGTGGCCATGCTCATTGCAGGCATGATTTACAAATACATTGAATATCAGGGGTAAGTGACAACCATGAAAAGAGCTAGATGTTATATGGGCGTAGAGGAGTTGCCGAGCTTTAACCCCATGGGCATGACTTGTGCTTCAAAGGAATGTTTTGTAGCCACCTTATTTCATGTAGTTGGCCTGCGGGACTGAATATAACCCACCCTTCTCCTGCTTTATCCACCATTCTCTTAGAAAGCTCAGAAGTGGGTTTTCCAAGGGAAAGTTGGGAAAGAGGTGGTGTGATAGCTGTTTTCAGAAAGGTGAAAGGCTGGCGCATAAGTTGAAACAGGTCAGAACTCAAAACCCCATTTCCAAATTGCAAGGAAAAGGTTTTGGGGAAACATGGAACATAACTTCCTGACAGCATGAGCTGTCGCAAAGTAGAAGAGCTTTCCTTGAAGGAAGTGAGCTGTCCTTCGTTAGCGATCTTCAAGCCAAGGTTGGACGACCATGTTTTGACGCACGCTAGAGGAATGGATCTCATGCATTGCCTGAAGATTGGGGAAAGGGATTTGTGGAGCTCCTGCCCATTTTAGAATCCCAGGTGTAATCCTCTAAGTTTTGTACGTTGGCATTTTGGTCTGAAAGGTCTAGAACAACAGTGGGTGACCTTCCAGATGTTCTGACTCTGGATCATGCCAAAGGTCAACGGGAAAACCTTAGGCTATAAAATCTAAGCCCCTGTGTAACATGCAAAGGAAGAAGTAGGGTATGTGTAACAGAACTCAATAAAATATCACGGTCTAAGTTTTAGAAGCTCATTTAGATTATGAAATAACAGTCCATCTAGAGATGGTTCCTCTGGCACGTCAAGTCCCCTAATTGGTTTTGAAATTCTGCTTTGCAGGGCGGAGAAGGAGTGGGGTGATGGGATCCGGGGATTGTCCCTCAGCGCCGCCCGATATGCTTTGCTGAGACTGGAGGAAGGGCCCCCGCATACCAAGAACTGGAGGTAACCCTAAATCTCTTGTTTTTAAAAATGGAGACTTCACTTTCTTCCCCAGACATTGTGTAGGGAGGGAAAACTCAAACAATATTGAATTTCCGTGGGGCGGGATATTTTAGACTCACTGAAATCATGAGCAACCGAGGCTCTTCTGCTGAAATTCTTCAAAAGGCAAGGGAGAGGCTGATGGCTGGCCTCGATGGGAAGCTGACTTTGAATCTGGAATTTAAAAAATGGCTGAGAACCCAGAAAGTTCTATTCACAATGTCTCTAAAAGTGCCCTTTAAAAGGAACTTGGGGAAAACCCTCCAAAATATTGATTTGTTACAAAAACTCACCCTTAAAATATAATAGGCCTTTAAGGGGTCGTGTGTTTTTGTCTTTGTTTTAATCTTGCTTCTTTGGAGTTTGCTTTATGAAACCTCTTAAAGGTTTGGAGAGCATTCTTTTTCCAAGTGAGTGTCCTCCATGCATCCTGTAATTGTACAGGGGATTATAGGGGTTGTAGCTCAACCCTTCAAAGCATTGGGAGAAAACCCGTGTGAGTTTGTCCAGCACTCTTGAAAAGCACAGGGGTGGTAAAGGCTGGTTTTGCAGTGCAAAGCCTTGGCATCGGATTTAGCTGTGAACCCACTGCCTGCGTGTAATGAATCTTCATGAGCCTGCAAAAGACATTTGATTAACTCTAAAGGATTTCCAGACCAGAGCAGGGCATAAAGCTGTCACGGTCTCCTTAGAGCTCATGAATAAATCTGCTAGTTATTGGTAGAGGGAAACAAAGCCAGCCCTGCCCCCCCTTGCTTCTTTTCTTCTCTCTTTTCAGACCCCAGCTGTTGGTGCTTTTGAAACTGGACGAAGATTTGCATGTGAAATATCCCAGGCTGCTAACTTTCGCTTCTCAGTTGAAAGCTGGCAAGGGGTTGACCATCATTGGGACCGTAATCCAGGGGAACTTCTTGGAAAGTTACGGCGAAGCCCAGGCGGCGGAACAGGTGGGCGCAGGCGCGGAGCCAAGCTAAGTCTTATCGGGAACCGATCACCGCAAAGCAAAAAGAGCCTATTCAGACCATCGTTTTGCGATCGTAAAAGCGATTGCAAAAACGTTGTCGTAATGCGGTTTCGTCATAATGCGGGGCAATCGTAAAGCGGGGCATGACTGTACATGCTTAAGCAAAACTGTTTTGGTTCAAATAGATGTAATATGTTCCCTGCCTCCAGCATGTTTGTTGGGAATCTCTGCACAAATGGTTAGGTAGGTTTTTCCCCCCCTTTTAGAATAATATTCCAAAACTGGAAGTCTGATTTTAGGTAAGCTAGGAAGACTTTTTTTGCTTGTTTTTTTTTTAACTGGCCCACGAGGATTGATTTTTCATGAAGATTCCTTGAACTGATGGCTTCTCTTCCAGACCATCAAGAACATGATTGAAATTGAGAAGGTGAAAGGCTTTTGCCAAGTGGTGGTAGCCACGAAAGTCCGAGACGGGATTTCCCACTTGATCCAGTCCTGCGGGTTGGGCGGCATGAAGCACAACACGGTGGTGCTGGGGTGGCCGTACGGCTGGAGGCAAAGCGAAGATCCAAGATCCTGGAAAACATTTATAGGCAAGTTCTACAGACACTGATCAATAGCTCTTACATTTGAAACAGGCTGGGGCCGTAGGCTTCTCATCATGGAAACAGCTGGGTGGCTCAGTGGGGTAAGTACGTATCTGGAGCTCGATTCCCTACGGTCCATGATCCACAGGGTCGCTTCCAGCAATGTCGTTCTAAGCTTATTATATTTCTTCTTAACTTTTGAATTGCCAGCAGACTTCCTCTGCCTTTAGAGGTGAGGTTGCTCCATAGAATTGAACTGTGCGTTACCTGTTTAACAGATATTATATAGATGGGACATGAGCTTTATTTTAAAATGTCCTGTCTGGGAAGAATTACGTCTGGCCTTGCCAGTTGCTTTGGCCATGGTTGGGAAAGAAAAAATAGGTATTCCTTTGTCTTGTTTGTTACAGTTACACTTCATCCGTCCGCCTTGCTGTCACTAAAAGGGGTTGGGCTTGTTTGTTACAGTTACACTTCATCCGTCTGCCTTGCTGTCACTAAAAGGGATTGGGTGGCCTTTCCCCCTGCCACATGCTGTTGTCTTCCTCCCAAACCACAGAGGGGTTGTCCATTTGATGATGATTACATCAGGGGGAATGTCACCAGTCAGATCTGATTACATTGTGGCTCCTCTGGGTTTTTTCTCTTTTTTTGCCTCCAGATACCGTGCGTTGCGTGACGGCCGCCCACCTGGCCTTGCTGGTGCCCAAGAATGTGTCCTTCTATCCCGGCAATCATGAGCGTTACAATGAAGGGAATATTGATGTCTGGTGGATCGTGCACGACGGAGGCATGTTGATGCTGCTTCCTTTTCTGCTCAGACAGCACAAAGTAAGACTGCCTGGCACTCGATAAGACTCGTTGGTCTCGCCCAGTGCTTGCGTGCGTTCATCCAGAACGGAGACTAATTGCCTTATTATTGTGTATTCCTAATGTTTCATCAAGACGACCTGATCTCAAGTGCCTTTGGTCAGTCTGTATACACTTTTGAAAAAGACCTACATCATGCAAAACGATGTTATAAACGGTATCAGTAAAATGTAGGAAAAGTCAACGAAAAGTTAGCAGCGGTTGTAAAACCACCGTCCTTATCTAATAACTAGGTTGGCTGATCTAACTCCAAGATGGCTGGGTTGGGTGGGTCTGAAGTTCAATTTTGATCCCCACACCTGCCAAAATGCCAGGAGAGGTCCTTCTTTTTTTCAGAAGTTCACTCGGATAGATAGGGCCTGTGAGTGTGGGTGCACACTCAAACACACCTGGTGGTGGCAGTGGGGAGGGGGTCCAGAAGCGATCGAGGTGAGGGTGGATGTCTGCTCCGCTCTACACGTGCTCAGCTGCATCTCTCGGTTTTGCTTTAACGGGCCACAGCAGTGTGAAACAGGAAGCATGAACAATAAGCCTATAAGGAAGAGGAACTTCATTTCACAAAAGAAACTGTTTTTGCTATTTTGGCCCCGAGGTTGCTGTGCTGATTTGATTACTTTGCAACCGTAGCAACCCTCAGCATTTGGAGAGGGGGGCATTCCTGGTGCGTGAACCAGGGGTGACTTGCATTCTGATTAGCAGCGGCAATTCACACGCAAAAGGAATTTTAGTATCCAACATTACAAAATGTTGAGCAATTCCTGTTTTACACACACATACATACCAAATATGTACTTACATTTGCACTTACACACATACAAACCTGTAATGTATTTGATTTGTATGTACAAATGTTAAAGAGATGTTGACGTTTTGTCCTGTAAAGTCTGTGTGTTCTTCCTGGGCACAATGCTTTTCAGTTGTGTTAGGGGTATAGCCAGAAACCACCTCAACCTTACTTATAGGAGAATATTGAGAATTGTAGTTCAGTGCAGCTGGAGAGCACCAGTTTGGGGGAAGATGCTCTACCAGGTTTCTCTTGGCTGTGCAGACACACTTGAAGCATTTGGGAAAAGACGCACATCTATGTTCTCCCTTGCGCAGGTTTGGCGAAAGTGCAAGATGCGAATTTTCACAGTAGCTCAGATGGATGACAACAGCATCCAGATGAAGAAAGACCTGGCGACCTTCCTCTACCAACTCCGCATAGAGGCTGAAGTAGAAGTCGTTGAAATGGTAAGGAGGGCTTGTCGTCTTCTGCCCCAGGGATGAGCGTTTGGGAGGGTTGGATTTTTGTGAAGTATGTGAATCAGGCAGAGTTTCTTATTTCTGCAGCAAAACAGTGACATCTCAGCATATACTTATGAGCGGACGTTGATGATGGAGCAGAGATCACAGATGTTAAGGCAGATGAGATTGACCAAAACGGAAAGAGAAAGGGAGGTACGTTTGCTGTGTACGTTGGATCAGGTGAGGATGGACAATAGCGGTTAATAGACCGTCAAGGATTTCGTAGTCAATGGCTTGTATTGCGACTTGGTCATGTTTAAGGCAGACTCACAGAGACCATTCGTGACATTTAAGTTAATCAAGTTGTCCCCTACATTCCAATAAGTTTGCTTGTAAGCATGATGAAGACTAGATCCAATCCAAAGCAAGTAATTCTGCAACAGACGTTTAGCCTATACAAGTAATTGTTGTTAGAGATGTGCAGAGACCTTTTCTGCTGCCCATCAAGCTGCTTTTTTTGAAACTCCTTTTGGAAGTGCTGTTCTGCAAAACTGCTGTACGCAACTCAACAAGTAGTTCTCACTTTGTGAGGGGATGCTTCGGGTGAGGGGATGCTTCTTTTAAAAATCTGTAGAGGTTATCTATGTATCCAATACAGTCTTACAATATTCTGGATCATGTAAGGAGCCAGACGTGTCACTTTTCCCATTAACCAAGCCATTGTGAAGAAGGCAGGACTCGCACACTCCCTTGTTTACACGTTAACAAAACAGAACATTTGAATACGACTCCCCTGAAAACTGAAACTGCCAGCTGTTGGCTCTTCCAGGCTCAGCTGGTGAAGGACAGGCATTCGATCATCAGGTTGGAGAGTCTCTACTCTGACGAGGAGGACGAGAGTGAGGCCATACCGGAAAAGATCCAGATGACGTGGACCAAGGACAAAAGTGACTCTGAGAAGAGGATCCGAAACAATGCCGTGGAGAACTTCAGAGAGCTCATCAGTATTAAACCGTAAGCACTGACATTCCCTGCCAGGCCCCAGAATTTCAAACCAAATGGGGTTCAATCCTCCTCTGTAGCATCTTTGGGTGTTTGAAATGACCTTAAAAGCCAGTTTGTGCAGTTCCTCAGGGAGCAGCTTGACTGCTGGAGAGAATTCCACCACTGGATTTCCTGCACTGCATGCGGGGTTGGATTAGCTGGTTAAGTCCTTCTCCAAGACTGTGATTCTGTGAAACATGGGAAGGGTTGGGTGGAATTCTAAGTTGTCTGCTGTGATGATATGATGCAATGATAAAGCTAGCTAAAAAATGTCTATCCTTTCTGTGTCCCATCACACAGTGCACCTTTCTCTCTACTAAGTAGATTTTCCTCAAGAGCCAGGGTGGTAGGGAAATGCGAGGGTGCCAGTGGCTCATATACCCATAAAGCCCTGCTGTGCCAGTCTCCTCGTTTTCAGAGTAGGGGGTAGGTGAAAATCAGTCCTCCAGGGCAATTTTTGTGGTCTGCCGGGCTACCAACAGGTAAAGAAAAAAAATGATTTTGACAAAAACAATTGGCTTTTCTGCTTTTCGAGGCTGCGAGGAGCAGCATATTTTGCTTTATTAAGATGGCAGAGATTCCCAGTGTGGTGCAGAGAATACAGTGACTGACCAGGACTCTGGAGAACAGGACTCGAATCTCCCCTTGGCCATGGAAACTCCTTGGGAGAGTGGAACTGCTAAAACAGCTTCTTAAATATCTCACTTACCTTGAAGGCTCCATTAGGGATGATTTTTACTTAGGAGCAGCATATTTTGCTTTATTAAGATGGCAGAGATTCCCAGTGTGGTGCAGAGAATACAGTGACTGACCTGACCAGGACTCTGGAAGACTCGAATCTCCCCTTGGCCATGGAAACTCCTTGGGAGAGTGGAACTGCTAAAACAGCTTCTTAAATATCTCACTTACCTTGAAGGCCCCATTAGGGATGATTTTTACTTGACCGCATAGAACACAAAGGATGTGGGGAAGTGTACACTCATGAATTACCCCCTAAACACAAAAATCAGAAGTGGATGTCGCTATCCGGGCAGATCCCCTTGAGGGCTGGCTGAGCGACCTCTGCCCACCCACCCTGCTGTGATAGGAAAAAAATAATAAAATGTTGGGAGTGGGAACTAAACAGCCTAGTAAGGACTGAGTATATTGGGTAGCTGTAGGATACTGGGGAACGGGGCAGTGAGGAGTGTCTGTAATCCTGAATTGAAACACACTACAGTCACATTTTATTATAGCTCCTATTCGTGCAAACTTTTTTTTTTTGGGGGGGAATACTAATTTTATTGTTACTGTTTTCTTCCATGCTTCAGTGAATGGGAGAATCTGTGAGTTTGCTCATTTAATCATTTTTAATAACCTGAAACATAGTGTCAATATGTATGTGTGGGTTTGGTGTCTGAATTGACAGTAGAAGAGGGAGAGGCAGAAATATTCCCTTCCTGATTGTTTTCCAAATATTTTTCTGTTTAGCTGTAAAGGAACTGATCTCAAATGGGGAGGGAGGGGGAGAGGAACTGTGAAAAGGAACAGTGGGGTTCAAAGGGGTTCAGGGCCCCTTGTCCATCATTCCTTTATATTAACACAAGACCCCACCACACCCACTTGATTCTGCCGCTATGCAGTCAAAACAGTGGATGAGTTTTTCTTTCGAGGGAGTGGGTGACGGGAGGCACCGAAGCTTCTGCGCCATTATTTGTCACGTGGTGGCTTTCCAAAGGCTGGTTTCTAACAGCATGTGTGAACACGACCATTCTGCAGCAACCAGTCAAATGTTCGAAGGATGCATACGGCTGTGAAGCTGAACGAAGTCATTGTCAACCGGTCCCACGACGCCCGACTGGTCCTACTCAACATGCCTGGGCCCCCAAAGAACACAGATGGAGATGAAAACTGTATCCTTTTTTAATGGGATTCTACATGTCTGTGTAAAATGCACAAAGCATCTGTATGGACGCCTTGTGCTGTACTTAATCCCTGCACTGCCTAGACTTTGACTGGGAGATATTGCTGCCCTGACTTAGAAGGTGGCAATTCGTAATGGCGAATTCCACAAGCAAAGCAGCAACAGCTAAGAGGAAAGTCCACCACACCTAACTTATTTTCCGCTTAAGGCCACTTAGCAAGAAGCCAGACGAGGAGGAACTGAAGGTTGGTGTGACCCAAACTGAACTGTTTCAACAAATGCAAAGGAAGAATCATGTTTGCAAGGTAAAGGAAGTCATGCATCAGCCCGCTGGCCTTTATTGTGGTTTCCTTTAGGGCATTGAGCCATCTCGTATTGGGTCTTCTCCTTTTCCTGCTGCCTTCCATCTTTCTCAGCATTATTATCTTTTCCAGAGAAGCCTGCTGCCTTCTTTGGTGCCCAAAATAGGACAGGCTCTCTTTCAACATTTTTGTCTCTAGACAAGAGTAGTATTCAGGCTTGACTTGATGCAGGACCCACTTGTTTGTCTTTCTGGTAGCCCAGGGCATCGACAAAGCTCTCCTCCAGCACCACATTTCAAACTAATCCATTCCCCCGCCCCCATCAACTTTAACTGTCCAGCTTTCACACCCACCGAGATTTCTACCTGGAGTGCATAGCGATCTCTGTCATTACTATCCTGGGACTTTGGTGTTACCAACACGGGATGGATTGCATCAAATGGGGCATACCTTGTTTGATAATCTTTGCAGGATACTAGCAAGACTCCATAAAATATCCTATATATCTGAGGTTTCTTATCCTTAACATGGCCTGATCCAGATATGGAATTTCTCGAGGTTTTGACCGAAGGATTAGAGCGAGTGTTACTTGTCAGAGGTGGCGGTCGAGAAGTCATCACTATTTACTCTTGATTCCAATAGGACAGCCCCCTGCTGCCAATTTTCCCCTCCTCTTCATGTTAAAGAGATATTTTCCATTCCAAGTGGAAAAGACTATGCCTTCTCTGCCACCACTTCAAACTGATCTTCACAGCCCCGGAAAAGGGTACACTGTAAAATGTAGCTGTAAATGCCATGTCCAGCCAAGTTCTTCCAGTGGCAACATACATATCTGTTCTGGAGTGCGACAGTATTACACCATTCTGCTAGAGACGTGTTTTAATCATGGCACTGCGATGCACTGTAGCTCTGCTTTAGCTTTCCTACTCCAGTGGATGTGTGTGCTACTTTTAATACTGAACCTTTTGTTGTATTTTTTACATTTTTTTTTAGAAAATAAAATGCAGAATTTTTAGTTAATGTACATTAATATATTAAGACTGAAAGCTCTCCCAAGGATTTTAAACCAATTTTTGAGTTAGTACTGAGGAATATTTTTACAGAGCAGCTTGTTCCTGCTGCGTCCCCCCCGTTTTTCTGTAAGAAAGAAGGAATGACCAACCGGCATTGTTTATAATGGACACCGCTTTTGTAAATTCCTCTCCTGAAATACCATATTGGTACTGAATAAGAATATACACCTTAATATACAGGTTTTAAATTATGGCAATGTGTATTGATCACTACAAGGATGTATAAGAAATGTGTGGGTCTCTGTTTCAAACAGACCCTTCTTTCCCCCTTATTTATTTTTCTATTTATTTTTTTAGAAAACAGTGGCAAAAAAAAAGCCCAAGGGCCTAAGCTAATGATTGTAGTTGCCTGCATGAAATATGTAAGGGCAGACAACATGTTGAATACATAATTGGTCTTTCAGAGATCTTGTCAGAAATTTTTCTAAATTAGACTAAAATGTTATTTTTTAATAGCAGTAGCTACAGATTACCAATGTGTGTAGATCATCCTGTCAAAGGCTTCAGCACTCTCTTATACAACATGCTCATGACAAAGTGAAAGGGGTTGACGTTGTTGTTGCGATGTGCTATCAAGTTGCCTCCAACTTATGGCAACTAGAGGTGGGAGCTTCAAATTTGTCCCCAAGGGGGAGACAAATATAAAGCTCAGCACCACAGGTGGCCGGTCCAATTGAACCCTCCACCCCCCCAACCTGATGTGCCTTTAGCATTTGCAGCTCAATGCAGCCGTTGTCCTTCACACGCCGCCAATCATGGAAGTACTCCCGCCTGGGGCTTCCCCGCCTCCCTGCACTGCTGACCAATCTGGTGATGGGGTGGGATGACGAGCCTCCCCGCTCAGCTGCTGATTGGTCAGCAGCGCAAGGAGGTGGGGGAGCCCTAGCCAGACTACTTCCCGGTCAGCAGCACAAGGAGGTGGGGAAGCCCTAGGCAGACTACTTCCGTGATGGGCGTGGCACAAGCGGCAAGGAGACACCCAGTGTTTGGGGGGGCAGGGTCCAATCAGACTGGCCACCTATGGGGGTGAGCTTTGAATTCATCTGCCATCCCTATGAATGAGGGATCGCCAAAATACCCCTGGCCTTCAGCTGCCTTGTGGTCAGCTCTTGTAAACTCAAGCCTGTGGCTTCCTCTTAGGAGTCAAAGGTTGACACTAGACAAGAATTATTAACTTTTTTATTACAAAATTTTTTGCGAAGACTATATCCACACCCATTATGATGTCTTTAGTTTAACAGAGGTCTGTATTTTTTTTCTCAATAAAATATTGCATACACTTGAGTCAAAATCATGTCCTGAAGTGAATGACTCTAGCCTACAAGCATGGTCATTCTTGACATGCTAGCACATAAAGAAATGTAAATGTCCATCATACTATAGTATGAGAATTCAGAAAAATTTGAGCTCCAAAACATATTACAGCTGGGGACATAGTCTCTAGCAATCCAGCAAAGAAACGGGGGAACAGTGTGGTCCTTATACACGATCTGAAGACGAGGAAGCAATACCTTTATTAGACCGCTTAGACATCAGAAACAGAAACTAGCTTTCCACCCTAGACAACTCTGTCAGGCTGGGCTTTACAGAGCTGGGAGTGGTGCAGAAGAAATATAAATGTTCTAAAATCCATGGCTAAAATGTGGAGGCCAGGTTTCCTTGTGGACAGTAAATTTCAAAACAAGTCCTGCAGACTCAGTTCTGAGGTGTAGGATGCCAGCTGTGAGGGCGTTGACTGTGTCCTTTTTGAACTTGTTAGGGAAAAAATGTTGTAAGCAGATAATTTAAGTATATATTACTATGGAGAAGCAAATTCTAACCAGAGTAGACCCCTGCATTAACAGGGTTTGCATTAAGTGCTGGCTGACTACTTAGCAGCAACTTCTATGGGTCTTGTCCACAGCAGATTATTTAAATCACTTTTCTTCGATCTATAATCCCCCCTTACTTTTGGTATCCTTTTTTAGCTTGCAGATAAATCAGACCCTCAGACAGCCTCCCACCTGGACTGAAGAGTTTTAGCAGAGACAGCTATAATTAGATTCACAGTCATCTCTGCACAATCATATTCAGAATTCTACCTGCCAATAAAATAAAACACAAGAAGCACAGCATTTACAAAAGTTCTAATCTTTTGTGTATGTGAAGGCCTTTAAAGATGAAGAGCAGCCATTCAAGAAACCTAAGTTACAAAGCAGATTTGTTTATAATTGTTAGGCACCTTTTAATTTGTCTCAATTGTACAATTTATTGCTAGTCAGCCTTCATAAACACACACACACATATAACTTCTCTGTACACATATTTAAAAATAAATTAAAAAATTCAGTCTCATAAATCCAATAAGGATTTTACAACTTACGATTTCTAACACAAAATTATAAAATTGTTCTCCTTTGGAACCTGGCATTCTTCAAGACACTGTGCAGAAATAAGTCTGCATTGCTCATCATAAATCTGGAGGTTTAACGTCTCTTGCTATTGATCATTTGATTTCGAAGACAATTTAATCCAGAAAGTGATCGCTGATGCACTTGTAGGCACCATCTCTTCTCACAGGGTTCCACCTACCAAAATAAGCCAGAGAAGTCTCAGCAATGGGGAAAAGGTATATTTGAAAAGGACTCTGGAAGTGGTTATGTATCCTTGACGGTTTGTAATATATAGGCCACATGAATAATCTCACCAGAGGGCCTGAACTGCTTGTGTTCATTGAAGCCCTGTGGCTGATTTATACTTTGGCTAACAGTTGTGTGATCCTGTCATATATCATGCCTTATTATTGTTATTTGACATCTATATCGTGCACTCAGGGGGACCCAAGAGGATCACCTAAGGCCCATATCCTACTCCCTAAACACGGAGAGGAGGGTCCGTCCCTTAAGCTTTCCCAGCCCAGGCTCCCATAGGCATCTTGTTACACAACTGGCTGTGCAACCAGTGCAAGAACAGGCTTGCACAGGGAGGTCTGCCAGAGTGGGGAGGCGGCCGGTGGGGTTGCTGTTCCACTCCATGTTTAGGTAACAGGGCATTAGCCCAAAAAAATTTGGTGTTTTTTTTTAAACATCTCCAACTACAGAACTACCACTTGAAAAGAGCATTTCTAGGAAAAGTCTTACCAGGTGGCTTTATACACAAAACAGCCGAAGAAAGCCAGTTGTCTAGGAGTAGAATTTGCTGTTGCTGACTTTTTTCTCCTTGAGTCTGCAGGAGAGCAAAAGGTGAAGAGAAGTTACTTTGGGTCAAGATATATTGCTGTTCTCACCCACCCCCCTTTTTGTGCCAAATAAAACTCATTAGTTTTTAAGATGCTGCGAGGCAAATAAATATGTAAAAATATTTAAAAGTTTCATTATCCAAAAAAATGGAGAAATTATTATGGTTCTTTACAGCACTCCACAGGTTAGGATCTCTAATTAAGTTATGCTTAGACACATGAACATGAACAGAGCATTGGACTAGATTGAACCATTGGTTGGATCCAGCCTGGCTTGTCTTGTCTTCTCTGGCCTGATAAGAAATCAGAACGCAGGGTTAAGACAGAGTGTCATGTTTGTGGAGTTAGCTGAGTAAAGTGTTTTGAAGAGCTAGCCATTTCTCATCTCAGTTCGTAAAACAGTTCGTGCCTAATTAAGTCAAAATAAGAGTAAAAACTGGACCCCTATCATATTTCCTACTTCTTTAATTATTTTATTAAATACTGGGGAATTTTTTTAAGCAGAATCACCACCAGCGTACCTCCTATTACATGTCTCCTGATACAGTTGTAGCTGACCCTCATTCCTATTGAACTCTTTCAACAAAGCATCACAAGATGGACCCCTTAAGTTCCGTCGGGTGTCATACAACTGGTTGTTCAGCTCTGCTTGACGTTGCCGAAGCTGCCTAAATGATGAATAGAGATCTTCTTCTCCTTCCTCCAAGAGGGTGGGGGGAAAAAAACCAAGAAAAGCATCTCAGATACTACTGGGATAACATGGCGTCACCCTAACTCTTGCTTTTGTGTCATTCTGAACCACACCGTCTTTTCCTAATCCTCTAGGTTTATCCAAGCTCAGTCTCACTGACTTCAGTATGAAAGTTAACGAGGATGCCCAGCATTTCTCCCAATGAAATACAGTAGCTTTTAGCCCGACCAGGTCCCAAATGTGGCAGGGGGGTGGGGAGTGGGAGGAAGGATGTACAGAATAAAGATGGGAAGCAGGGAAGTGAGGATACGCAAAATAGAGCTCCAAAATTAAAATCGATGCTAATCATGACTGGCTGAAGCCAGAAGGGTATAAATGGAAGGAAGTCTACTGATACTTTTTATCTGTGATAATTAAAATTGAATTGAGTAACAATGAACATTTATAACAATATTTACTATTTTTTCAAATACATTACCCCAGTTTTATATGGCACACTAATATAAACAATCATGGTCTAAGTATACAGAGATGGCAAGATGTCTGAAAATGTTCTTGGTGTGTTGTACTACCCACCCTCTGAGCAAGAAAAGATTGCTCTGATTACAGCAACATACAAATACCTTTTAAAAATAAATCATCTCTCAGTACCAAGAAAAGCATCATCTTCTTCCCAACATTCCCTGCTCTTGGAATAGCCTGGGTCTTATTTTAACTTACAAAATGCCACCCAACTGGCACTATGTGCTACATGGTTTCAGTATGACCCAATGTGGAAGATAATTTATATCCAAAAACCAAGATATTATAATAAACTACGCTATTTAAATTCCCTTTGGTTCTTTTCATAGGCTGATAGAAACTGCCTCTAGTAGGCAACAGAGATTCTTCAGAAACGAAACTACACTAACAGACAATTTCTGCACCTACCGGAATTTGCTGCTTCTCACAATAAACCAGGAGGGAAGCCAGCTCTATGTCTTCACTATATCCGTTTTTAAGAGGGACTGACCGAAAGCCTACAATGGTAGGATAAGAAAAGTTAACTACCTTCATGGCTGCCTCCAACTCACACGCATGACGGAACAGCCTGTAGCTCACCTGTTCTAGTCTTGAAAGTAGAAAAGAGTTTGGAGATTTACTAGGAAGCAGCAGGCAGAACGGGAAAGACAGGGCATCATGAAGGATCTCAAGACAGCCACATGAACCAGAGCTGGGAAAAATCACAAGCTGCCACAAAGGATCTGCATTTCTGCAACAGTTCAAAAAGCAAAAGTAGAATCTAAGCTAGCCAAGCAAAATTCAGCAGGGATACAGTACAGGAAGCATTCCAGATTCAGTGTGTCATGGTGGAAGTGGAAGCAGAATCAATTCTATAACAGTTAAGGATCTCCTACCGAAAGCTTAGGAATATCCCTATAGTAGCAAAGCTAATAATACTAGGGGTTGTTATTTCCCCTCAAAGAGGAAGAACACATAACAAAAACTTCAGCCATTTAAGTGGCACATTCTACCTCCTAGTACACAGTGACTTCACTACTACATAACTTATCACCATTCCATAAGGAAAACTGGCAATGACCTAACAGATTTTCCAAGGCTACTATTTTATTATTGATTAACCGTGTCTGGGCAGTGTGCAGAGGGGGGAGTCCTTTTACATAGTGGGCAACATAAACCCCTAAGAGTTCAAGAATTCACTACTCAAAAAGGAAGGATGTAATTTTAAAAAATAAAAAGTGAATGAAATATTGTTCGCGAGAGAAGGGAATGTTTAAATTGTTATCTCTGGTACATTTTGAGCGGCTAACTACCATAAGATTTGAAATGAATAAGCAAAACATTACAAAAAGCCTAAAAAGATGAAAAGCTTGGACATTCTAAGCATAGAAATAAGTAACTCCCAGTTGGATGTGGGTACACGCATGATACATTCTGAACAACTGGCATGGTGAGAAAAATGTTGAGAAGCTAAGGTAGAGAGATTACAAGCAAGAACGAGAAAGGCTGTACTTCTGCCCACAGTATTCTTTGATCAGCAAAGTTAAACAAAACCTGAGCAAGAAATAACCCACAGGCTTGCCCACAGAGAAAGTGTCTGTGCATGTTACAGATAAAGAGTTGCTGGAAAATTATGCCACTGAATGCAGCAAACACATCTCCATCCCCCTTTAGAGATACAACAGTGCATCAAACGAGACATAGTATCACCTGGATCCAGAAAACCAAAGTGAAGTAGAAATGTTCACTCTTCCGGTGCTGCGCTACCTGTCACTATTAGACTTTATATTTACCTGGTTTGACTCCTTTGATAGGAAAAGTGCCGTGTGCTAAGAAGTTGGGATCACTGAACATGTCTTCCTCGTAGACGACAAAGCGCAGAAAGGCTATATTTGGATCATAGATTTCAAACTTGACTTGCTCCTGAGACAACCAGACTGGGTTAAGGCCATTGTCATCTGTAATGCAAAAAGACACTTGTTGATTCAAATGCATCCCTCGCTATCAATCAAGGCTTCGAGATCACAGGAACTGTATATAGCCTATCACCCACAGACTGTGATCTTTCAAGCGCTTGGTGGTCCCTTTGGTTTTGCAGCAGGATTCAATAGAAACTATCGGAAAGATTTAAACCGAGCTGCAGCTGAACCACTCTAAACCAACCTAATGATCACAGGAGGTGGCTGGCTGTGTTCAGAACTGGTGGATCAGTAGTGGTGTAGACATGACTTGATGCTCCTTACTCACCCAGATGCTGAGACCAATGTGTGTGTGTGTGTGTGTGTGTGTGTGTGTGTTGTGCCATCAAGTCGGAACTAAGTTACAGCAACTCTCATGGGGCTTTCAAGGTAAGTGAGATATTTAAGGAGTGGCACAATTAACAAAACTTGTTTTTAATCTTCTCTTAAGTTTTGTTAACACTTGGCTTTATTAAATATATTATTTAGACACCGGGCAGATCTATGAAGAAGCTGCATATTCTTCTTCTCCATGATATCTTATGACAGCAACATGCAGACATAATTTACAGAGCAATCTTTCCCTCTCATCCTGATCTATTTTCTCCTTCTTCATCTTAGAACATATTTTCCTGATAAACAGATTTGAAGATCATGAATGCCTGGACATGATTTTATTTATTTATTGGGCCTTTTTGTTGGCTTAATAAAGACAAAATGGATTTTGGAACTTAGCGTTATTGTTACATGTTTATTGTTATTTAGTGTATCAGTGATTTTATTATTGGTTTGCATCTTCTCTGTGTACTGTTCTGGTTTAGGTTAGAAAGCAAGATAAAAAGCATATTAAATAAAGAAATGGATAAATACACAACAAATCCTATAGCACTGTAAAGGTACATAGAAATAAAGATACTTATGCTTGTTTGGGAGATCATGAAGAGTTCCAAATAAAGCAGCTTGAGGCTTTCAGAAGAAAATAATTGAATACTGTATAAGCATAAAAATTAACTGATGTAGGAAAGGCAAAGTGACACCAAATCAGACAGATTTGGTTCCTGAAAACAAAGTGCTTTCCTTCTAATATATGGATTTTGTTGTGCCACAGTTTAATTTTTATAGCTGTTATGTTTATTCAGACTCTATTTGTTACTTTGCAATATTTAATTCTAAATAAACAAAGAAAGCCCGTGTGGTGTAGCGCAGTGGTCCCCAACCTTGGGTATCCCAGATGTTCGTGGCCAGGATTTCTGGGAGATGAAGTCCAAGAGCATCTGGAGGCCCAAGGTTGGGGACCACTGGAGTAGTGGACAGACTGTTGTACTAGGACTCCAGAGACCTGGGTTCAAATCCCCATATGGCCACAAAAACGCCCTAGAGGGCTAGAAATGGCAAACCATTCTTTGGACATCTCAATATACCTAGAAAATTCTTGTTAGGGTCACCACAAGTCAGAAGTGACCTGACTGCACATGACTACAAAACACATGTATGATTCCAGTGCACGGGTCCAGACGCAACTGGGGAACAACTTAGCTCAAGTCCCATTCACCTGAACAGGGGTGCCAAGCGTGCAGACAATTCTCTCCAACTGAAGTGATTAATACTGACTGGATCATGGCCATAGTTTTTAAGAAGCTGAAATATTATGGCAGCTACTCCAAGGCAGCCAAGGAGAGCACCATGACTGTTTGTGTCCCCCATTGTGCTGCAGAAGCTTCTGGAAGGTAAATTACGCCAAAATGCAGCTACTGCCCTAGGGTTACCCAGAAAGCGTTATCCGATACGTATGACCTGACTTTGTGTAACAGTCTGGATTATTACACACCACACTACCTGTCTTTCATGTATTTACACTGAATCCCTTTCCACAGTCAGCAGTACTTACTCACAACCGTAGTCTTGAATTTGCTGTTATCGTATTCAGCCCCACAAATTTCTACCTCTACAAACGGGCAGGCGATACTCCTGCCAGGTTTGGGAAGATGGCGAGCGCCAATCACCTATTTAAATTAGGCAAAAACAAAAGAAAATAAGGAAATACAAAAGGACACAGACCGAGCTTAAGAGCAGAGATTCCAGGCCCTGCCTTGGAATCCGATGGCTAGTGTAAGAACGCTTCAGGTAAGGGTTCTTAAAATGATCCTAAGAAATGAGGAGGAGACCTGGGCCACGCTTCCAGTGGGATAGTGACATGTGGGTAGGCTGTAAATGTAAGCCCACTCCCTAGATAAAGTCCTCCATGCTTTCAGGTCTGCTTTCCAGGAAGAAAACGAGTTTATTGGTGTTTCCAGGGCAGCAGATAGATTCCCTTGTTTCCATCCATGGGTCTGAGTCTTCGCTCTGAAGTTCAAACAGTCTGAGAAAATGTGTTTACCCCTTGAAAAGTAGTAGGTTTATTTTAAAAATAGAGATATATACCCTCACTGTCAAAATCATCTGTAGCTTCTTCTTAGATTCATTTGGCACAGGATCGTACGCATCATTCCTCATGGCCTCTGGCTGCAGTACATAACCCGTGCGCCCGTTGAGTGAAAACAAGGCTTGATTCATTTGCATGTATTTATCTGAAGGGAGGATTAAATGCAAAATGCTACATTAGCAAGATTCTGTATTTCAGCAAATCGGAGGGGGGAAGGAATGAGATTGCTATAATATGAACAAAGACAATCAGCATTTTCCTAATAAAAAACAAAAGCCTCCAAGGGAGTCTTTCCATGAGATGGATATTATCCTTCCTGATAGCTCTCAGATGGGAAAGATCCACCTGATCTTCTGAATCCAGATGGTACCCATATTCAGATATACACAGATAACAGTACCCTGTAGAAGTTATTTCAGTTTCCAGGGGAGAACAAGGGCACAGAAATTATTTTTGAAAACAGCTCTTCCTACACAATCATAGGGGCAGAGGGAAAGGGGCAGTTTTTCTATTTCAATGTGAACAATTAATGCCATCAGCTGTTATTGATAAAGAGAAACTGATACATCCACTTTGCATCTCTCTTTTGCGTATATGAAGACAGCACTGAAAGTCCCTGTTACTTATTGAAAAGGAAGCTTAATTTAAGTTTTTCCTTCTCGTTACTGAAGAAATTCAGTATTAGTCAGATCTACAGACAACTGATCACCTATGGCAAACTCAAATAGGTATAGTGCTACATCAGCACATTAGCCACAGACCAATTTGCACAGTGAGAGTGGCTGCCTGGTGAGAATCAGAGTCCAACAAACTTCATGTATCTGGCATTGGCAAGGAACACACCCACACACTCTCAGGACAATGCCTTCCTCATCATCTATTCTCTGATCCTTTTAACTAGAAATACCAGGAACCTAAAACGGACCTGCTCTGCTACATACATACCCTCCATTTTCATTTTTTTACTGAATCCCTCCATCCTGTAGCCCTTTGGACTGCCATAGTTTAATGCAGAATAAAAACTTGCTTTCTTAAAAGAAGCTAAAGTTAAGAGTGCCAAGAGTCAATTTCCTTTTCAGATCCCATTTCTGCCTGGGTGAATACAATATTTCCAGTTAACTGCTCAGAATATGTAAATACATCCTTTCACCTGCTTTGACAGAAAGAAAGGTAGCAAACAATGTGTACACTAATTCAGGACTGGAGGGTTTGTGGTCTTCCTGGGGCTTTTGAATTTCGGCTCCCGTGAGTCCCAGCCAACCTAGCCAGGTTTTCCACTCTTGACACAATGCTGTGTGAAGCACTTTGCACACTAAAGTGGCAATCCTAAAGACACACCTTATGTGAACACAGTGGGGTTTATTTTTGAAGACTCTTTTAAAGCTGGTATTTAAAAAAAAAACACAAAGGGGCTCCCATCAGTATTTGGCTTAATCTCAAATTAGTTTAAAAGTGTCTTGTTCTAAAGCATGGGTTTTACAAAGATCTCTAGCAGTCAAAACAGCTTTTTCTTTAAAGAAAATTCTGTTAACAAAACGGGTACATTTTTATGGAGTGTTACTGGAAATGTTTAGCTTGCAAAATAAAAGACTTCATCCAAATGGTGCTACAGAAATTTGAAATCTACCTCTAGGAAACTGTTCCCTATAATTCCTCTTTAAACTTCATGCAATGATTTTGTACCAAAGAATATTATTTAAAAACAATTATTCCTCTAAACTACTGAACACCAAACATCAGACACTGGCATATTCTACTCGCTTTCTGGAATGAATATTTAAATGTGCAGTTTTCAAGTGATACGAAACTCCCAGTCCTTCTCTTCTTGCATTAAACAGGATGTCGTGGAAGGAAATGGGTGCTGACTCAGAAAAAAAGAGAAAAAGAGGAAGGAAACAGCTAAGCATTTCCACAACGAGATTTTTTACCTGGGGTTTGGAAATTAAGAGCTACCATCTGCGCACCACAAAACCAGAAGCGAAAAGGATCATAATTTGAAGAGTCCACTCTTTGCCCTTTTGGGTATATTCGTGTCAGGCCCTTCTGATTGTATTTGAGCAGATCTACCGGCTTCTGCTTGACAATGGCTTCTGCTTTGGTTTCCACAAAAGAACGAATCTCCCTGAAATCAGGATTTTCTGCCAAAGGGAGAGGTGGGAAGAAGTTACAAGGTTCATGTAGGTTTTCACAGAGACCTCACTCAACAACTGAAATAGTATTTTCAACATGAAGCACAGCAATCATAATAAAAAATATTTAACTAGCAACAGTCTTGCTGATTTATAAATGCCTCCTGTCATTTCCTAAACTGCAAAGGGACATTTCCCTTAAGAGGCTACTGTTTGCCTCTAGCTGCTCTTATTCAAATACTGGGCCTTGCATTTATTGTTCAAAACGCCATCCTATTTCTCTAGCTATTGACATAATTTGAAAATTATTGTCCTCTTCTCCAAAGTACCACTTAATCTGCATTTTATGGTACAAATTCTGAAGAAGGGAAACTATCTATGACTTAGGCAAACGGAAGAACCAAGCCACTGTTGTTCCCTGTTGCTCCAAGAGGCTGTAGTGGAGCACAAGGGTAAAAACAGACTTGATATTTCAGCATCAAACCACCAAGTGGCTTACAGCAGGGGTCCCCGACCTGGGGTCTCCAGATGTTCTTGGACTGCAACTCCAAGAAGCCTTCACCACCACCTCTGCTGGCCAGGATTTCTGGCAGCTAAAGTCCAAGAACATCTGGAAGCCCAAGGTTGGGGACCATTGGCTTACAGGACTAAGTTATCGGTCATCAAAAAATCTTGGATAATATTTAAGAATCTAGTACTCAAGGAGATCAAATTCATAAATAAAAATAATTACCTAGGTTGTCCTTCGTTTTACTTGTAGGCAAACAGTAGATTACCAGGTCAGATAATTCCATCGCAATTAATTGTTTCTTTTCCCAATATACCCTGATAGTTGCCTATTTGAAAATTAGTGTAAAAAAAGGTTGTTAGAAGCGCTTTACCGTATTTCCCCCAAAATAGGACAGGGTCTTATATTTTTGCTTGAAAAAAAGCATTAGGGCTTATTTTCAGGGGATGTTTTTTTTTCATGTACAACCATCTACATTTATTCAAATACAGTCATGTCATCTTCTGCTTGCTGCACAAAGGTGGAGGGCGGGGTTTCACTTAACTGAGGCTTATTTTTGGGGTAGGGCTTATATTATGAGCATCCTGAAAAATCATGCTAGGGTTTATTTTCAGGTTAGGTCTTATTTTCAGGGGAAAAGGTAGTACAGATTAGTTACTTGTATTGAACCTATTTGTCAAAAAGCAACAAAAATGACTTATTTTTCTTCAACTTTAGATTTGACACAATGTACTCTGTGTGTGTAACTAAAACAGACACTCCAGTGATACAGTGTTTCCTCCCCAGTATGGAAAACACTGAATTCCAATGTAGAATCATCACCCTCGTCAATTTGCACATTCATTTTAATGGTGTTATTAGTCTGTTTTTCAAGTGACAAATGTGAACTTTTAATGCTCAAAACATCCTTCTTCATTGCAGATGTAAAAGTCAAATTCTGAGACAAAAAAAATTAATTTGGGATGAAAAGAATCGGAAGATAACACAGCATATTATACCCCAAATCCTAAGTCACTAGAGCATAGATTTTAAAAAGCCTCTCCTTGTCTTTGTGGCTCTTTAGGAGGGCCAGAGGAGTCATGAAAACCTTGGTCTGTGCCTTTGCTTGCAAGTCCAGAAACGAAATCAGGGATTCTTCAGCTTTGGCTCAAATCAGACCTCTCCTCTTTTATCCTTCAGAACTCCACGTGCACCCATTACCTCTTCAGCAGTTCTCCACGTGATCTCCCTGACGCTCTGATACCACTCAAACAGCTCTTCCACTTTATCAGTTGCAAATTCAACAGGAGGGTCATCAGGATTCTTGGGTTCCAAGACAAAGACAAAATTCTTCCCATATTTCCCCTGTGGCGTTTTTGCTATTAGGAATCAAAAGCAATATGGGCACAATCAGATGTGCTAATTTTAAGATCTTTTTTTTCCATCCTATTAGCTATGTTTGGACCCTTTCTTGGGGCAGAAAAACAGGATATAGAAATAAAATAAAGTATCAGTAATTATTTTAAATTGCCACACCCATGGCCCTTCTTATGAATGTATTGTGGAATTAAAATGTGAATGGATTCTTTCTGATTGCGCAGTGCTAACACAACCCTAGTTACTATCTCAGTGATAGAACCAACATTCTTGTTTCCTGATGTCTTCAGACAGATGGAATATCTTGTCAGTCAGTGAAGACAACCCCACATCCAAATCTCTTGGTTTGGTTTTCTCCACACACACCCATTTCATTTTAATCCTTTGGCAACTATTAATTATCAGCCTTTCTTGTTTTTGTTTTTTTTTAAAGAGGCTCTCTTTCGTGCAATTTATGTTCTTCCACAGGTTGCCAAAGGAGAGCCTCTAAACATGAATGATTTCACGTTTACAAAAGAGGACTGCACAAAAATATCATGTTTCTTTGAGCTCCGTCTTTCATGAAAATGTTTTTTGCCCTTTTAGTTTACTCTTTATATGTCAAATTACCTAAGAAATGTTTTGTCTAATAGCATAGTGAGGGTTTGTGGTGTTCCAGGAAGAAGATTCAGACAGGACAGCAATAATTTTGAATCTGTAGAAGGCCCTGTCTTGGCCCCCGAAGCCAACAAGAAGTGCTCTTTGCTTCAACCATTATTGGCTGCTGACAGCTGAGCTCCTGATGCCTTCCATTGTAGATTGCTGCCTGCCTGCCTCCTACCTCTACCTTCGATCATTTTCTTCTTCCTTTGCCTTTCTTTTCTTGATTTTGTGTGGATTTCTCCTTCTTTTCTTTGGATATTGTTGGCGCCTCCTTCCCCCCAATTTCTCCACCCTTCTCTCTCTCAATCTCTCTCTGTGTGTTCTTTTCTTGGATTATTTTTGCTTCTTCCTTCCTGACCTGCCTGCTAGACTCAAGACGGAGAAGAAAGCTTCAAAGTAGTAGAAGGGAGAGGAAGATTTCACAAACTGCTATGCCATTTTGTTTTTATTTTTTAAAAGGAAGAAAGGAAACAAAGACTACAGGAACTTACATACCAATGTTATACCTATTGAGGTCCAAAATACCCCGGCATAATGATCCTAAAGGATTGTCCTCCATTATCTGCAATAAAAAGAGTAACACTTAAAACCAGCTATTATTTTCACTCAAAGATTCATTCACACTGTATTTCTTTTCATTTTATTTGAATAAGGATCTAAAATGGCAGAGGCTAAAAATTACTAAAGACTGCAAGATGATAGGGTCTGGGGTGATGACCTGGTTATGTAACCTCAAAACTGATCAGCACTAGCGTGGCCTAGACCTACTGTGACTGTCATCTAACAGAAACCAACCAGGAAGTTGCTCTGAAACAAGGTAAATATAGCATCACTTGTTCTTCCTCTTTCTTTTAATATACTTTGACATCTATCCGTTCCACCTTTTCATAACCCTAACATTTAAAGGTATCTTATACATAAGTCTCCCACAGTCCATTTTTATAGGATCTTCCCCAGTCTCTATCATGGTTACTTGAAGTAACTGGCCAGTCCAGACTGACAGTATGCCAATCAAACATTCTTTTGCTTCTGTTTAAAAAAAGGGGCAAAATAAAAACATAACCTGTGCATGGTTAATCTTTACCAGCAAGATAATTTCCCCCTCTAATCAAGTACACAATAAAACCTGCCACATGCCCACAATACTTCTGCAAAAGGCGCCATCCTTAACTCCATCAGACACACATGCAAAATCAATAATCCTATTTACAAAGGAAAATATTAAGCCTAACCTCCCATTTGTATGCACAGCAGATTAAAATCCACAAGAGCTCCCCACACAAACAAATCTGCCTCGTTTCTGTTGCACATGCCAAAATGGACTAATAGGCCTCCTCTTTGAAAACAGAGCTAGATGGATTCCCACCTTCCTGCACATCTGTGACACAGTCTGAAAGGTCAGCCTGAGAAGTCTCTGTCTGCATGTGGATCTTTTCTGAAACTGTGAAAGCCTCTCTCTTTTTCAAATAAAATGGATTGTACATTCTAGCCAATGGACAGCAAGTAAGACTTATTCTTCCCACCTGATTCTCAGATTCTTCTATGCCATCAGTTGACAAATCTTCAACATAATTGGATGGAAAATAGTGCTGAACTTTGTATCCATAATCTCCTTTCCACCTAATAAATTGAGAGAATACAGCTTCGAAAAGCAAAAATGAAGATGGGATTATAAACCTGAAACAAATGTCCTTTTGCCCCCAAATTAATTTCAACGCTAACATCTTCCTCTCCTAAAAGGAAAAAAGTGTGGAATTGTTTTTAACCCGTGCGACGTAATCTGCACTATAATGTGCCAACCAGATTGGGCCCACCGCCTTCATAGAGAAACCACTGCCTGCTAGCTACTGGCAACCAGTGGCACCAGGGCACTACAGAGAGCAGAGCAAGGAAGGAAAACCCTCCACAGCAGACTTGGGTTCAGGAACAGAGCATGCAGCCTCGACCAGGTCAGTTCATGCATGCTAGGAGAAAAGGCAAGAAGCCAAGGAGGCTGATGGGGAGGGGAGGGGGACCCCCTGCTGCACATGATGAGAGTGTGGCAGAGCTTTTAGGAGGGTTGCAGGAGACACATGGTGGCCCTCTTGAAGGAGGTGGCGGCCAGGCTTTAAAAGGGAAAACTCCTAGAAGAGGGAGAGGAGGGAAAGACGGCGTAAAAGCAGAAGAGCCCAAAGTCGAGTCAATAAGGCTGTCTGATAGGGAGAGCCCATGGCTTCTGAGAGACCTTTTGTGGTGCCTTCCCATGAAGGCAGAGACAAGGCTACCGTAAAGGTAGTTTGGCCTGGGGAGAGCAGAAGAGACGTCACAAACCACCAGGGCTCATGGGCTGTTGACCTAGAGATTAAAGGAACCAGAGAGCCTCCTTGAGACAAGAGAAAGGCCCCAATCGCTGCAAAGGGAAGCCCAAGGATGGAATCATGAGGGGCAGGTTGGACCTGGCTAGACCAGGCTGGGCACCCATACGAGGGGAATCAAGGGGGCTACGCTATGGGTAATGAACACAGCTCTAATAAGAAGCAAGTGGAGAAAACTGTACACGTGCCTTGCATATGACTGTCCCAGCATGTTCATATGATTTTCCCCATCCACGTAGGATCCTGGGGGCATCACAATCAGAACCATGTACCATAACAAAAAACAACAACAGAAGTTTGCAAAAATGTAAGTGTCGTCTTCTCACCATCCACCACTTTCTTTGGAGACGTTGTGAATTAAAGCACCCCGGCAGAAAGTCAACTCATCGTCTCTTTTTGCTTGGTAGTCATACAGGGCTTTGACTGTTCGCTGGGGCTTCAAGAGAAAGAAATGGAGATGGGCTAAAGGGTCAACATGATTAGTAAATTTTGGGGGAAACTGCAGAAACAGGAACACACTGTTGAAATAATGGCTAAGTCATTGTTTCTTTTGCTATTTTTTTCCCTTTGTATCATGAACACACTTCTACTTGCAAGCAGCCTCCTTAATTTTCTGAACAAGAAATTAAAGTAAAAGGACCTCTCAGCTATTCCCTTCTCTCAGATGAAAATTAAACATGAATCAAACAGGAGTGTAACTTACGACAGAAGGTGTTATTTCAGTGGGTTCCACATATGGTTTGAGATCATATAATGAGCTGGGATCTTTCTCCTGAGATTGAAAGAGAAAGGAAATTAAATTCCACAACTGCAAAATGTTACTAGAAGTTTTGGTTGAATATGCAATCAACACAGAAGTACTGCATGTTCTACATATATTTCTAGCAGCTGAACACAATTTTGTGTTTTCCCTCCCCGCCTTTTTTTAGGATTTCCAATAAGTGTCAGCAGGGCTTTTTTTGCAAAGCTGTCTGCCCCGTTTTTAATCTCTAAACTAGAAACTGAAGATTTCCTTTTGAGTGATCATTTCAGTAATCTTTCTGAAAGGCCTGGGACGAATGATTGTCACTGTTCTGCTAATGATGTGTTTAAGAAAAAAAATCTGTCCTGCAGCTTTCTATACAAGGAGACATTAATTCTTCCATGCGCACATACCTATGTCACAACTGGCGTGCGTAGCACAGCACTGTGATCTACTGTATTCATCTATCATACCAGAAAAAACAACAACTAGACTTTAAACATGACCTCCTAGGATCATATGGAAACAGAGTTGTAACCGGACAAAGTTCCATCAAGCACAACCTTCTGGCCTGAGGAAAAACTGTCCAATCCCATAGTTACCTATTAAATGCATATTACCAGGAAAGGTTATGGGAAACTTTTTGCAGTGCCTCATAGTCCATTTAGGACTAACACAAAGCTGAGATTTCAAATCCTACCTAAGCAGAATCTCTGGTTATATACAATCTTCATTATAATTATTCTCAAAACTAACCATTTAATCTTCACATTCGTTATCCCACCTTTCAACAAGCACCTTTCAACCTGAAGGCAATGGACACGGCCAACAATGCTAGCACTTAACGCGCAGTCACGATTGACTAGTGAAAAATAGAAGGAACATGTAATCCTGTGGATTGTTTCAGGTCTCTTAACCATGGTTTTATTAAAACATTTATATTGCAAGATCCACACAGTTACACCAGCTCTAAGAAATTCCACATTAGAACCTTTCATCCATAGCTTTTAAAAAAAGTTTAGCTGGCCATTAAATGTTGGCTGAGATATGTTCTTAAGGCACACAGTGCAATTCCAGTGACAATTTTAACAGGTTCAGCCTTATAACTTGTCTGGATGGGAGACAATCCTGGGAGCTGCATGTCAGTGACTGACTGATATCAAAAACGCAAATTCCTATAACTGAACAACTTAGAGCCTATAACTGCTTTCAGAATCATTCACATGCGGACACAGTCACACACAAATGCACAGTAAAGACCTCACAATAACCGAGCATTCTACACTTTTTAAACATGGTTTTCAGAGCCCTGGCTGACCAGACAAATACTTGCCATGCTGTAGCGTTCCAGCAGTTCTGCAGTGACAGGATAGCGCAGTTTCATCTTCCTGTACAACGGATGTTTCTCATAGTAGTTCACCAACTCCACTAAACTTTCAAAATAAGCTGATGTTCCCAAGACAAAAAGGCGGCCTTCTTGTTTAATTCGGCAGTGCTTCACTTTTCCTTCAGCTCTGTGAAGTCAGCGGAGATCAAGCGTTTAGAAAATGCCAGCAAGTCCGTGTGATAACTTCCCATACTTTCAAGAGTCAGGTGCACATTTTCCTATTTAAACCAGGCTTCCATGTCATGTCACAAGCACATATTTACAGGCTGTCAAGACTTTAAAAAAAACTGGCTGTAGAAATAGGTGTGCCACAATTCCCATCATTCAGAAGATGAGAATGACAGGGCCTGGGTGTTTCTGAATACAGGCCTAAACAGCACATTCCTTTTTCCTGTCCAGCTGTAGCCCAAACCATTCTAACTGAATGGGTGTAAATGCACAGTCCTTCAAATCTCCTCTTCTGTCTTTCCAGCAGCAATGTCAAGTAGGATCCAATAGGTTTAACTGGCAACAGATTGCAACTAACTTGAGCAGAACTCCTTCGGAATTTGGGGATAGAGATTTTAGCTTGGACTATTCAGTTTGAGCCCAGATAAACTCATTTATCTCCTTTGTCAAACACACAAAAATGTAATAAGGAATTTTACATCTCATTTCTTATATCTTAGACACCTTTTATATATCCTATTGACAATTTTTGTTTAATTTATTCTTCAATTGGATGGCTAGAACAATTATGCTATTTGTAAACTCAGTATATGTTTGCTATATTTATTTAAGAAATTCATATTCTCCCTTTCCTGTATTGTGTCATGTTTATGAAGTTTGAGTCTGACCTGAAAGTCATGGCATAGGAATCAGGTTCATCTCTCTTCCTTATTAAAAAGGCTCCATCCCTCGGAATTCGCATCAACATATCTTCTGCTTCCCCTCGGCTCAAGTTACTGTAATACCATCTGCAAAAAAAGAGAGTGGGGGGATGAGGAGGTGGTTGTAGAGTTCAACACAATTCCATTAAGAACAATCAGTGACACAGTAATATTAGATAAGATGCTGAACAATGCACATATTTTCTCCCATTGCCACGACAAATGGCTTTTCTCCATGTTATATTGTGCAAGAACCATATAATTAGGAAAATCAATCTGGGACAAGCACTTTAGTGTAACCCAATACAAACCAACTTTTCAAAAAGGAAATAAACAGGCATGCTTGGAACACAAAAAGAGTGTCACGTGGAGTAGGAGCACAATAAAATCCAGCACAAAACAAGCAGGATATCCTGCAATACACATGATATGTACGTGTTAACTGAATGGAACTCCACAACTGTGCATGAGATGACAGAAAGAAAAAACACCCAATTGTGGTTTAAAAGCTGAGAATATTTAAAATGAGATAGCGTCCCATTCAGCTAAAACCGTTCCTTTCTACTTTGGACTGCTGTCTAAGTGATCTTGTTCTTCTAGCCTACTTATAAATGTTTCTGAATCAAAACGCATCCTTGGTGCAAAACTGCTGCGGCCAGTTAGGCTGGGGTTTGTTCCTGTTGTTTTAAATCAGATTCCTCATAATCCACAAGGCTTTCAGCATTAAAAATAACATTTTGCCCCACCCTAGAATTTCCTTTTGGTGAGACGTACTTCTTAGACTCATGAGGCGTGGGGTTAGGCACAGCATCAGTCAGCCGTAGTTCAAACTCAGCACACCGCAAATGTGCTTCTTTATAATGTTGGATTAAATCACAGATGCTATCAAATGTGAGATTATCAGTCAGATAGTATTTTATGGTATCTCCATCAGCTGAAGACCGGATACGGCAGTGCTGGACTCTTCCTGACCGCCTAGGAAACACAGAAAAAAGTAAACCTGTTAATTCTAAAATCATATCTACATAACATAATTGCTGATGGTTTCATAGGGACGTGGTGGCGCTGCAGGCTAAACTGCAGAAGCCTGTGCTGCACAGTCAGAAGACCAGCAGCCATAAGATCGAATCCATGCTATGGAGTGAGCGCCCGTCGCTTGTCCCAGCTCCCGCCAACTTAGCGGTTCGAAAGCATGCAAATGCGAGTATATCAATAAGGACCACCTTGGTGGGAAGGTAACAGCGTTCTGTGCTTAAGGCGCACTGGCTATGTGACCATGGAAAATTGTCTTCGGACAAAAACGCTGGCTCTATGGCTTGGAAACGGGGATGATCACCGCCCCCTAGAGTCGAACACGACTGGACAAAAATTGTCAAGGGGAACCTTTACCTTTACCTCATGCTCTTTATTCAGCTGGTAAAGTATGCCAAATTTCAGTAGGGAAGAGAGGAAGTGAAGGAAAGTCAAATATGAAAACAGGACTAAGAATGTAGGGACTTAGAGACATGCCAATGAAAAGTGTGGCAGAATTTACCATTACAATGCAAAAGTCTGGGCTGCAAAATACATTGCGTTTAGGACAGAAATTTAAGTCAGAATAAGCCAAGGCACAATGTTCCATTTCATTAAACAGTTTCCCTAATTATTTCAGCATGTCACTAACATCCCAAATCCTTAAAAAATGGGAACAGATTACTTATAGATTTGTCGTTTTACAAAAATGTAAAATCATAGTGCTGCATCATCATCATTAATCATGATTAATGTAAACTGTGAAACTCAAAACCAGAATCTGAAGTGTGTTTGCAAAGTTTAATCAGAAGGCAAACTTGTTTGTACCAAAGCAAAAAATAAATAAATAAAAGAAAATAATATTTTTTAAAATGTGCTTCTTATATACCGCCCCATAGTGCTTAAAGTGGTCTCTGGGTGGTTTACAATTTTAATTATGCAAGCTAAGATGGTTGGACAGTGTCACCGAAGCGACCGACATGAATTTGACCTAACTCCGGGAGGCAGTGGAAGACAGGAGGGCCTGGCGTGCTCTGGTCCGTGGGGTCATGAAGGGTCGGACACGACTAAACAACAACAACTGATTACCAGAAGGACAGTGTGTAGTCATTAGGGAAGGCTTCACTTTCTCTCACTAAGAAAGTTCCATCCTTGCCACCCATTTCAGCACAATATTCCTGGAGTAACTTCTCCGCAGTGGTTCTTCCCTCTTTCATTTTGCCATGGAACCATTTCTCACCATAGTGCAGCTCGGTACGCTTCGTCTCCTGGAATGCAGGAAGGAACGATATGCCTCATTTCAGTTTGCCATAAAAGTATAAAAAGTTGGTCCTGAGCTTTTTTTTTTATTTTTTTAAACATGACATTCTTCTCTGAAGGCCTTTCACCCAGCCCAATGGTGAAAGGCAGGGCTTGGCAAAATGCATGACAAGAGAAAAACTCTGTTGGGCTCCTCATGTCATCTATGCGGGAATGGTGTTCAGTGACTATTTTAATAGAGACAGGGCCTACTGCAGCACAGCGTCAGAATCCTGACCCTCAGCCTCTTCACAAAGAAACAAGCAGATGCCCAACAGTCATCTTTTTAATGTCACAAGCAAAGCAAAGGGTCTAAAATATTGAACTTGGAAATCACTGGTTCAAAATCAGGTTTAACACAACAGGAAATAAAACAAACAACATTTTCATGTAAAAACCACCTCGATACAGAAGTCTGAATACCTTTGATGGTTCTTCTTCAGTGTTTTGTTCGATATCATCACTGAATGAGAGCCTCTGATTGGCTACAGCACAGTAGTGACGAGTCCATTTCTAGAAAGCAAAGTCATTTTTAGCGGACTACTTTCCCAAAACATTGGTAAATTTACAAGTTTATGGCAAAAACATTGCAACAGCATCTCTTCTCTCTTACAAGCCCAAAGTTCTAGGATTAATTTCAGCCACAGAAAGCAACAGAAGCAAAATTCTGTTTACCTGATCTATAGTGTCCCACATGTACAGCTCTCCTTGCTGCTTTTTTTCCTCTTTCTTATCTTCCGTATTTACATCTACATCACCTTTTGGCCCCAATTTTTTATGCTAATACAAAACAAACAGAACAATTATGAAAAATAGGATCCTCTGCAGGTGATTTTTCCCCCCGAACAACTCTTTCTCAAGCTCGCTTTCTGCTTTGACACAAGAATACCATCTTCTCTGTTATGACTAGGTAGAGTCTTCCAAACCAAAGCCTATCCTGTTTGTTTCTTTAAAACATTTTTGCCTCGTCTTTCTCCTTTAAAGGACCCAAGGCGGCTTACAATTAAAATACAATACTTAAAAGCAAAAAACATATAGTATACTGTGGGTGGCAGGCATTAGTCTTAGCAGAGACTTTTCCACTTTTCTCACACGCGATGGAATACAAAGGTTATAGAGAAATTCCTCTTCAGAAAAGCATTTAGAAGGGAGTAACCCTCTTTATTTCTCTCTGCTTATTACTCTTTATTTATTCAATTTATTCAATAATTTCAAACTGCCCACGTTCTCACACACATCAGGTACCACACAAATATAGCTGAAATGACAACACAATTACACAGTGCAAACTGACATGCATTGCTTTGCCAAGGAATCTTTACCACGTGACCTAGATTAGTATCATTTCATATCTGCTCCCAAGATCTGTTTCCACCTTATGATTGAAACAATGTAACCCATTTACAATCAGAGGAATTGTTGCATACTAGGCATTAGCACAAAATGACAAACATTGGGGAGATTTTTCCCCCTTTATTTTTTTCCTGGCCACAAATAGCCTTCTGTCTTCTCAACGTTTAAAAAGTATTACTTCTGTTTAATACCAGTAAGGCAATGGCACATGGAAATAATATGTGCATTCTTGGACATTAATGCTTAAAAGGAGTAAAGGCTGTTTCAATACAGACATGCAGGATATTTCAGTTCTAACTGATTGGTATCTCCCTGTACACAAAGCTGACAGAGTGCCAGGAGAAGTTATGTGTTCTGTATGGTTGACTTTTCATAAGATATAGCTCTATGTTTTCTACATGGCTGGCTTGTCATTAAAAAATAACTTCAGGGCAAGTGAGGAAATAACCAGCTTTTCTTGGGGATACTTCAGACTTTGCTTGGTTACCATGGCCAAACAGTTCTGCAGCTACAATGCTCTGCCAGAAATATAGACAGTTGCTGCCTTCTCTGACCCTAGGTAGAGGGCAGAAAGAGACACCCGGATCCTCCCATTCAAATATATTTCTTTCAGCAGTTCACACTTGCCTTGATGATGAACTTCTCTTTCAGTTGTGTTGGTGATGGCAGCTGATCAGCACTCGCTTCCACAGGCTTGGTTAGAAGCTGGTCCCCAAGGATCTCCTTGAACACTTTGGCAATGTACCGCTGCTGTTCCACACTGCAGTGTTGCTCAATTGACAAAATCACAGGGTACCTTACGTAAGGAATACAAAGGCCATTGGTAGAATCCCAAACGGCAAAAAGCCTAACCACAGCATCCTACTTCTCATACCAGCCCATAAGACTCCCCTCTACCTATGCTCTGCTCCTTCACTGTGGAACACAAAAGCATTCAGTAGCATATTGCCTTGCCTCTCTGCATGGAAGCTTCAAACCACGTGTGACTAACATCTGGACTCAGCCATAATGCTGGACAATCGCTTTAATGCAGACGCAAGCCCCAGTAAGCTTTGCAATCATTGTTTTGTTATTATTACATTGGTATTGTACTTTTCCACTATAACAGTAATTAAGTTGGTATTGTACTTTTCCACTATAACAGTACCGTAATTAAGCAACAACATCACTAAAAATTAAACTGAAAATAAAAGTGGTTTTAGATTAGGCATCCTTCAATCTCGACAGACTATGGTAACATGCTCTGTATGGAGGACTTGGAACATCATCTAGTGTGGCTCAGAAGGCCAATTCGAGAGTGACCATCCCTCCCACACTGAAGGCAAATACAGTCTGTCGTTCGAGAGGCTCCCTGATTTTGTTGGTTTCGGGACTGCCTCTTTGCCTCGGCCTGCTGGACAAGTTTCTCTTCAAAATGAGAGAGGCCATGATGCACCGCCTGCCTTCAGGCTGAACACTCAAATGTCAAGGTTTCCCATCTGTTGAGGTCCATTCCTAAGGCTTTCAGATCCTGCTTGCAGGTATCCTTGTATTGCAGCTGTGGTCTCCCTCTGGGGCCCTTTCCCTGCACTAATTCTCCATACAGGAGATCTTTTGGAATCTGACCATCAGCCATTCTCACGACATGCCCAAGCCAATGTAGACGTCGCTGTTTCAGTAATGTATATATGCTAAAAACTCCAGCTCATTCTAGGACTACTCTTTTTGGAACTTTGTCCTGCCAGGTGATACCAAAAATGCATTGGAGACAAGGTATATGGAACGAGTTCAGTTTCCTCTCCTGCTGTGCACAAAGGGTCTAGGACTCACTGCAGTACAGGAATGCGCTCAGACTATAGGCTCTATAGACCTGGATCTTGGTATATGAAAAGTGGTTAACAATGGATGATAAGGCCAGTTTTAAGAAATGTTTCTCCACAACTTCCTATAAGTAGTAAAACTGCAAGGGCATAGTATTCCAAACTAGGAGCAACTCCAGATAAAGTCCTCTTCTGTATGTCTATCAAGTAGACCTCTACAAGTTATGGAATCCTCAAGAGAGTCCCTCCACAAGATCTTAACAGCAGTTAGTCTAAAACAAAAGCTAAATCCTCCACATGCCTCTTCCTCCACTTGAGAAGGCATGCAAGTGAAGTTAGGTAACCTCTTTGTTGGAACATCTCTTTATGATTCAGTGTTACAACTGAGCCAGGCCATTGATAGTTCTGCTTTCCATGAATTCGTCTTCTCCTCTTTTAAGAACATCTACACTAACGCCAACCTCTATTTCCCACAGAAGTGAAATCTACAAAGTGTTTATACATTATGTGAAGCAATCTTGTCCTTTCACCAGTCTGAATCTAGCACCTATTAGTATCACTGAATGATTCAGAACTCTAATATTATGAGAAAAGGGGGAAATGTCTCGCAGTTCACTTGTTCAACACCATGCAGAATTATGATGTAAAGCTCTGTTTTGTTTTTCCTTAGTCATCTTATTACTTAAAAGTCACGAATATGTAACTTTCCTTAAATTCCTTTCCTTTTAAGGAAAGAAGTGTGTACATTAGAAACAGGTCAGTTTGACAAGAGTCAACAACTTCAGATGAACCGCAAACTTTTACTTTGCTTAGTCTGGAGAATATGCAAACCAGCCTGCTTTGGGCTGACAAGTGACTTGGATTTGGCTACCCACACAGAAACACAAGGCAACCATGGTATTTATTCAATCTCATTCAAATTCTTAATGTCTCCACTTTACCAGCTCTATCTCCACCCCAAGACTTCATTCAGTACATCAAGTCAGGGATGCGGGCAACCTATAGCTCTAAAATTGAAGGCAGTGCTCAATGGGATGTTGTGTAGCCTTGATCTAATCTGAAACACGGTTAATTGGCTCATATCAGAGCTTGCTACATGGGGAGGGAGAGTAGGGGAAAGAGAAGGGGGCGGGACAGAAAGCAAGAGGGAAAAGGGAGTGTGGCAAAAAGAGATGAAGTGATGGACACACTTACTTTTCCTTCTGACTTCACCCACCACTGGCTTCATCCTCCCTGCCACAAATATGCAGCCTCTAATGTATCACCCAAAGGGGCTTTCCTCCCTTTACATAAATTAAAAAGTTGCCCAAAGCAGCAATGTAAGAAGGTTTGTTGTGGGTTTTTTGGGCTCTTTGGTCATGTTCTGAAGGTTGTTCTTCCTAACGTTTCACCAATTTCTGTGGCCGGCATCTTCAGAGGACAGCACTCTGAACAGATGCCGGGCACAGAGACTGGCGAAACGTTAGGTAGAACAACCTTCAGAACACGGCCAAAGAGCCCGAAAAACCCACAACAACCATTAGATAATGTAAGAAGGCTTTGAAGCAGACCAACAGAGACACATTAAAGGCACTACCATGAGCTCCTACTAGAATCTGCAAAAAGACTTTGTCTTCTTACAGAAATCAAGTATTTCCTAAGACTCTAATGATATACTCGCTGAATTTCATGATGTACACAAAGACTGTAAGAACTGAAAAAGTGATATGTAAGGGAATAATTCTGTAAATCACATGTAAAAAGTCACTTTATTCTTAGGAAGCTCTCCTCAATAAAATAATGAATACCTACTCAGACGTGACAAATGCATGTTCCTTAATAGCTTGCACGACATCTTCAAATTTAATTTTTGTTGTCCGTGTCCATCCATGATAAATGATGGGTTTCCCATCTGGACCATCCCAGCAATCCACTAGGGTAGGCAATGAAGAGAGCATCAAGTGGAATATTCAACTGGAAGTAGCAACAGCAACCAGACTTGCAGACTAAGACATGCAAATGGTAGCTCTTCAGACTTTAAGGAAGCAGAATTAGAGTTCTTAAAAGTTAGGGGATCTTCTCTTCTGCTCCTGTAGACTGGAAGAGGGTCTTACCAGGATGTGCATATGGACATTACATGTAACATTTTTGGAACCTTTACTTGCAAAAAGATAAAAGAGGTTCCTATAACTGCCAAAGATAGGGTTGATGCATTTAGTAGTGATTTCAGATCCCAGCTAATTCTGCATGGGGCAGGAACAAGCCATTTAGGCCAGTGGTTCTTAACCTTTGTTACTCAGATGTTTTTGAACTGCAACTCCCAGAAACCCCAGTCAGCACAGCTGGTGGTGAAGACTCCTGGGAGTTGCAGTCCAAAACTCCCGAGTAACCCAAGGTTAAGAACCAGTGATTTAGGCTGTCTGAGAAATACATTAGTAGAAAATCCCCCACACCCATCAAAGTGCACTTAAAGCCAACAATTATTTTCATAACTCAGCCAGAAAAGTCCAGCTGCACTTATTCCCATTTTGGTGACACCAAGATTGTGCTGCCTGAGGCAGCTGCCTGACCCCGACCAACGGTAGGTAGGATCAGCACTGTCTATACGGTTGTCTTTGGGGGGTGGGGGTGGAGTCTTTCATGCAATCCCTATTTTTGTGCTGTTTCTTATTGGTCAAAACAGGGAACATCAGAGATGTCTGGTACAAGAAAAGAAAAATTAAGCATATTGTGAATGTTCTATGCAAAGACTGCTCAATACTTAAGTCTCTTGGCAGTTCAGCTAAAATGAGAAGGCTACCAAACTAGAATGCAATGAAATGCTTTAAATAAGATCAGCAAAACAGATGACGCACACTCAATACATCGACATCCCATTCGGAGGCATCGGACATATGCTTCTGGAGAAGATTCACTCCGTAGTTGGTCTCCTGTGAGGTACCTAGGGCACAAAGATCAACACTGAAATTATAATGCAGTTTCCAATGATATCAAGAATGAAAGATCTTTTCTTTCTTTTACCAACTTACGTATTATGTGAAGAAGAAATCCAGTAGTGCGACAAAGGGTTATTCATGACCTGAGGGTCCATTGCATTGTACTTCTCATCCCAAATGCTGTTTTCTTTTGAAAAAAGGTACATAAGGAACTAACACATACAAAAAAAGAGAAAGAGAAATATATTTTAATTTAGAACTAGGGAAGGGTATTAGGTATTAAAGGCTGATATTTCCAAAGGAGTTGTAGCAAAACTGGAAGTAGAAACCTATCTGAACCATATGCCTTAAAATAGACTTCTTGTTGTTTAGTCGTTAAGTCGTGTCTGACTCTTTGTGACCCCATGGACCAGAGCACACCAGGCCCTCCTGTCCTCCACGGCCTCCCGGAGTTGGGTCAAATTCATGTTGGTTGCTTCGATGACCCTGTCCAACCATCTCGTCCTCTAAAGTAGACTACTAAGGCTCAAAAGTCAGCTATAGCCCATTCTAACACACAGAGCAGCGGTGGCAACTCTTATCATATTCCTTTCCTCTCTCTGCTGCTTTATTGTTGTTAAGAGAAGGGAGGGCAGGCAGACAGGCAACCACATAGACAAGATGTCACAGAAGAAGCATTTCAGGGGCAGTTGCTTTCTTTAACTCTGTATGCCTACAAGCTACAGGAATAAAAAATATTTCCACTGAAAAAATATTTCCCAATTTAAAAAGTATACTAGCCCTGTCCTTCTTCTCATCTAGTGACCCAAGAAATAAACAAACAAAAAACACTAAGAGTGAATTGTGTGGTTTTATAACAAAAATAATTAGTCTTCGATTTATTGTTATAGTTAAAAGTGGGTAGTGGGTCTGAAACAAATTGAAGACTATTATTCTAAGTAATATTTTTACCAGTCTTTGGGATTTTCTCTTTAGAAAAACATGATTGGTACCACTTTTCTTATCTTCTTGGTAGAAGCTGAAGATCTTTTTATTTGCCCAGACTTTTTCTTTATTTTAATTTAATTTTTTTTAAAAAAACCTTTTTGATATGGGTTTATGCTCTACTATGTTATATAGCTTCCCTGTCTCAGAGAGGCAACAATTTCCTTAAACAGTTATGTTGAAATAATTTTAATTGCTAGCCACTCTGAATGTTCTTTAAGAGATGTATATAATAAACTTTTTCATCATAATATAATGTAATAACAACCAACTTTGATGGTTTTAAACAGAATTAACACAGGGGGCATTACTAATAAAATATATATGCCACTCTGAATAGTATATATACAACTCTAAATACCAGTTGCTTGTAAACATGAGCAAGATGGTGCTACTGCTTCTCAGAGTTTGAGAAAGTTACATTTTTTTCCCAAATAAATTGGGAAAAAATATGAGCTGTAGTCTGAAGCACTCACTTTTCAAAACTCTCCTTATCAGCATCTCTGAGGCACCTAATTTGGCCACTATAAGCAAAAGGGTGCTGTTGATTAAACAAGTACCAGGCCCTCCTGTCCTCCACTGCCTCACATTCAAACTCTGAGGCACCTAATTTGGCCACTATGAGAAGAAGGGTATGGTTGATTAAGCAAGTCTTTTTATGTTCTTATAACTGTTTCATATAATTTTAAAAAGCTTACCTCGTCAACATACAGAAAAGGTTCGTCTGTTTCCCTCATAGTGTCATCTATAAATTTAGACATCCGTTCTCTTACTTTACTAAGGTCCTGCGCCCATGATTCCTGAAATTTCAAGTGTTCACAATTCTAATGCATGTCATTTAATCTTACATATTAACATATCATAACATATTTTGCAACTTTGTTCTTCATTAAAGGTCATGGTTGATTCCCATTATTATATGAATTGACATCCTGTTGCATAAGGTAGTAAGTTGCAATACAGCAGGGCCACTGAATCAATGGCAATTCGGCAAGTCAACTGTTTTGTGAATTTCACTGATTCAAAGGAGCTTACGAATTGACATCCTGTTGCATAAGGTAGTAAATTGCAATACAACAGGGCCACTGAATCAATGGCAATTCGGCGAGTCAACTGTTCTGTGAATTTCACTGATTCAAAGGAGCTTATTCTAGTTGCAACTTACTTTAGCACAGTACGTCACAGCTACAGTAGGCTCATTTGAATCAACTGGACATATGGATCTACACTAGTTGCTACACTAACAACAGGATTTCAGCAATTACTTTGTGGGAACCATGCACACACTGAGGTTTTGCATCTCCTGATCACAGGTAGGAACAGCAAATCACTTTTCCATTTAAAACTAACTTGCCTGTTCAGTCAAATGGCCACCTGTACTAAAATATTTTTGGTAGTGTGAATTTCTTTCTGTCCACACAGTCATCCAGAATTGCAGTGCAGTGCCCAAACAGATTCAAGATAAAGTTCAATACAAAATCTAGTCTGAAGAATCAGCTAAAAGGTACTGGCTGAAATCCATCAGTATAATAGTATCAGTCACAGCGGTTTTTCCAAAATTAAAATTATGTGGTTTCTCCCCACAAAATTAATTTTCAACAAAAGACTTTGCCCCATCCTGTGTTTCCCAACGGCTTCACCACGAAGAAAGGAATCCCAAAGGAGCTTTCGGACCTTTGTTGACATGGGGGAAACCCAACGTATTTAATTTCTGAAAAACCAATCTATTTTTCTGAAATTATAAATGTTGGATTTCCCTCATCATTGTCATAAATTATGCTGGTCAATTTCAACTACTGCTCCAAATTTTAAAGAGCTAATAGGCTTCATTGAGATTCAGCAAAGATTCTTCCAAATGACATTCATGGAGAAGGAAACATTAATCTCATTCAGGAGAATGCATTGGGTACAAAAACCTGATATTTGATAGCACCCTCCAGAACATACAATTGATTTGTTCTTCTGTCAGTTAATTAATTTTAGGCATTCACAAAGTTCTTCTCAGATATAAGCAGCAAAGTGTTCTTCAATGCATATCATCAACAATGTAATAAAGATTCCACAATCTTTTTTGTGCAGGTTTGAGAAAATATTCATCAGAAAAATTTATGCTGGGAAGGATCCCAAGACCCTCCTGTGTAATAGGCAATTCTACTCATGGAAAAGAAGGGCAGGTATCCCTGCTGTTTGCCAGTTCCTCTCTTCAGGTGCAAGTTTCACCACCATTTCATTCCTGAGGGCAGCCTTCTTCCCCAGAAAGTACATGGGGCTGACACCAGGAAGAAGATGGGAAGTCCCACTGAGCTATGTGTGTTTCTGTGGATCCGGTGCACAACACCTACTACACTGCACCACAATGTCAGACATACTTCCTTGGGACTTACTGACAAGGAGTCTATAATCATCTCACCTGCTGCTCATGTAGCAAAAACCTCTGAAAGTCATGCAAATGAACTGCCGAAGCATCTGGGCGATCTGTGTTCCTGAAACAGACAGGGAAAGCAGAAGAGTAACGATTAAAAAGGCAACTGAGTAAGAATCACCACTGGTGTTAGCACACATCATGCCAATGTTGGGATAAAGAGACAGGGGAAAAACACTGTCTTGAAACAAATACCAAATATCAGATCCGTGTTGTCTAATAATTAGATCACAAAACCAAAGTACTCAAAATAATTCATGAAGCTTCTTAGAAAACATCAATATATAATCTTAGAAAACTGAATGAAAAAAACCTGGATTTTCATTTAAAATAATCACCAATTTTTTTTACCCCAGCTCTTTTTTTTTAATTCCTAATCAATTCTGGGCAATGGAAGATAAGAAGGGAAAGCATTAACAAAAAGGATGAGACTAATTTAAGGAAAAATGATGGATTGGGATGGGGGGAATATAGGAGCAGGTATCTGCAATTATGGATGTCTTATTTTCTTAATTTATTCCCCTGAAAGCACTGTGAATCATTTATACACATAATATATTAAACAACTTCAGTGGTGCAGTGAGATAATTTTAGTTACAAGATTTAATGTTCTTATGGGGATACATTTTAGATTATAATCTGTTAATGTGTTTCAAAATTTGATAAATGAGCCCTCCTGCCCATTCTGGTAAGATCAAGAAGAGACTTTTGCCACAAAGCTCTTGTCTGTATCACTGAATGGATTATGTTAGTGTAGTAACTATATCTTTCTCAACTGCATATGGTCTTAAAGCAGAATGCAAAACTCTATCACGGAAAGCCAACTAAATGACTATGTATTAACACACACATGATAAGCTCACTGCAACACTGAGGAAGAGTAGTTGTGTGATTAGAAATAAGTAACAATGGCAAAGGATATTGTGATATCTTAAAACAACAAATCCTGGTTTAAACTGTTTTACAAAGCTGTATTTATCTGAAATAAACTATAATCCTGAGTTCATATATCACACTAAACCATGTATGTGTGATATGGGTTCTTGTTTCAAAACCAAGTAGAAGCAAACATGCTATCATTTTAATAAACAATTGTGTTTTTTGCTGTTGTTTTTTTTTTTAGCCGTGTAACTACCATTATGTGTATCTCTATTTGCTATTAATTTCCCGGTATAAGTTTTTTTTAAAGTTTCCTATGCCAATAAAGGTTACCGAATTAAATTAAATAAATTAAAACAAGGATTTCTAGCTTCAAGTAATATGGAAACATGACTATCTTTATCTCTCTTGTTAATTGCATAATAAGGAAACTCACCCCAAAAGGAACATAGTGGAGTCCTTCTTGAATTCATCAAGAATCTAAAGGAGAAGATTCCCAAATATGAAAACTTTTGCCACAAAAGAATTATTGCCTAGAAAAGGTATGCATAATATCCAGTATTTTGCATCCAGCTTGCTTTCATTATTATCATTTATTAGATTTGTTAAATACAATCTAAAAAAAGACTAACGGCTAAAGGAGAAGATTCCCAAATATGAAAACTTTTGCCACAAAAGAATTATTGCCTAGAAAAGGTATGCATAATATCCAGTATTTTGCATCCAGCTTGCTTTCATTATTATCATCATCATTTATTAGATTTGTTAAATGCAATCTAAAAAAGACTAACGACATCTAACAAAGATAACAACAAAAATAATGGAACAATATATTTAAATCTATTTCTTTAAGTTGTTCCTGATAAATTATTTTTGATTCTGGAAGCTAACTGACCCTTCCAAATGCAGTCATGATAATGAGGACTTTTTTTTTTCTAATACAATAGACAGCCATGCCTCTTTATCTATAGAACTGAAACAGGGAAATCAAAGCATTCTGCTTATATAGAATGGTGAAAGATTTGTATTTCACATAAAATGACAATTCATGCATTGGCTAAAATCCCATGTGAATGTTACACCTGTAGAAAGATGATGATCACCAGCAGAGGGAGATTTTCAACAATAAGACTTCCTACATCAGTCCTGCAGCTTTTCTAACTTGCATGTAACCAGTAAAATTGTATGCAAAGCACAAGAGACAGGGGACAGCTGGAGGAAATCTTAAATTTTTAAAAATCTCTACTTGCCAATGACATAATAACGCATCTACAAGCATAAGTAGCACATCAGGACTTGGGCTATTAAGTAGTGATTTGCCTTAATATATATGTGAGTCACATTTACCAATTTCTGTTGCTCAAACATAATTTTCTTGTAGAACAGATGAAACTGCTCAAAGCTAAGTTCTTCTTTAACAGCTTTTATTTCCTATAAAAAAGTAAGAAACATTTAGGATTCAGAGTACTGTACCAGCCTCCCCATCTCAAAACACACAACTCTTTATCAAATTCTCTAGATATTTTGTCTGTTTTTCTAATTCTCTATTTTTCTGCTTAATTTAAAAAAAACTCAGAAGTCTGAAAAATGTAGCACTGACCTTAACAAAGAGCTCTACAATGTTAAAATAAAGGGAAAGATGAGAAATCAATGATGACAGGCCATGTTAAAATAAAGGGAAAGATGAGAAATCATTGACGACAGGCCAATGTGTATTGTGTATTTTTCTGTCAATCATCATGCATTTATTTATCTATATTTATATGCCTCTTTTCAATAAAGACACGGATGTACAAGGGAATAGTCGTAACTAATGCCCAAAAACCTATGGTAAGAATCACACACAAAGGAGATTGCACAAGTAGTTTCTCCCATGTTTTTGTCATGTCTTGTGTGCACAAGCACGCCACAGTGTGCACAACCAAGTGCACAACTGGGATGTATCATAGCAGATGATTGATAAACAGCAACTGCTGGTTTGTACTGTGCAAACCCAGTAGGATCATAACCATTAAATGTTACACCAACAAAAACAATTAAGATTTTATTAAAACCAGAGTTTTAATGGTTAAAACCAATACCGTGAACGGATCCTCCAAAGGAATGGTCAACTAGTGCAAATCTTCAGTACTGGTGCTATAGGATCCCAAACACCATGTATCTAGCTGCCATATTTTGCACCCGTTCTATCTGTGTACAATATGTTTGTCCAGGGTAACAGGCAGCACAAAACAGAACTGGACTGGTACATTCCTTATGACCATCACTACCTGGGAGTCCAAGCACAGTGTGCATTTGAGAAGCTCCCCTGGCTACCAACCTAACCTTTCAAGAGAGGAGCAGCATCTCCAGAGGAGGCCGGGTCCTGTCACAGAATCAAACTTCCAACTCTCAAGTAACTTAAGGATTTATTTTATAGCAATGTTCTATAACAAAGACACATACATACAATACAAATAAACAAATACCTGGATTTAAAGATTAGGCTGAAAGCCTGAGATCTACAGCTTAATTTCTAAATCCAGAGTTCATGTACAAATTCTGGTGATGAAAAATCTGGGTGCACAATAAAGGTGAGGGTAGATGTGGCCTCTGACGGAGCATAAAAAATAGTTCTGCTCCATACTCTCATCCCATAGGAGTGAAGATTGCATACATACATTTCCACCATACAAACATCATATACTGCCAGAAACAGAAAACTAAATTATCAGTTCTTGCCCACAGAGCAAAGAAGCAGTTAGGGACCTGTTACTCTCTGATGTTGTTGCATGTGTAATCAGATTTATTTTGGAGTAACAGCAATTGTTAAGGCAACTGCTAAATTGTAGGATATGTAGCTAGGTAGATCTGAGCAGAAAAAACAGTCAGCAGATAATTACCGAAAATTTATCTTTCAAAAACTTCACACTGTTCACTTTGAAGTTCACTGATGGGAGCACAGTCTTCAGCTCTCTCAGGCTGATGCTGAAAGTTAATGGGAACAAGAAGAAAAGATTAACCACAGAGGCAAACGAAAAAAACAGGAAGACTTGTATTTCATCAACAGTAATCAAGTGTTGTCAAGTCAATTCTGACGTATAGCAACTGTTTTCTCTCAAGTCAATTCTGACGTATAGCAACTGTTTCGGGTTTTTCTAGGTAGAGAATACTCAAAACTGGTTTACAAGTCGGGGGGGGGGGGGACGGTCATCCTGGGACTGTGCAGCTTGCCCACACAGGCTAGGCTCTTCTCCTAAGAGCTTGCCCACACAGGCTAGGCTCTTCTCCCAAGAGACTGAGTGGGGGAAATCAAACTCCCAACCTCTGGCACTGCAGCCAGATGCCTAAGTTACTGAGCTATCTGGCCAGTTATTTCACCAATAAATACCCCACTTAAAACCAATGGGTTCTATAGTTCAACCTCCCCTGCCTCTCACTGAAAGGATATGTGACAGATCTTGCAGAGCTGCTGCCAGAGCAGATTAGAGGGACTGTAAGGCACTAAACACAGAGGTCATGAGGCTAAGTTCAATGTTAGTCTCAACAAGAGAAGGCCCACTGAAATGAATGTGATCTTTCTCATGCAAATCTCATTCATGACAGGAGTCTTTTATAGCTGGGACAAATGAGTTTAACCCAACAGATTTGTTAGTTACAAAATACATTTTCTAAACAACAGACAAATCAAAACGACAGATTGTACTTAAAAGGATAAAACACCAGCCTAATTTTGTTAGTCCTAAATATAGTAGATCCTATAAATCAACAGGGACTTGGTAAGTCCACAATTATATAAATTCAGCAGATTTAAAGGGTCGACTAGTTGGGAATAACAACTGGATTTTAGCCTCCATATGCTGTGTCCCCCTACAGTGTGTGGTAATTTTGCTGGGAAAAGATCTCATGTAAAAACTTTCAGCACCTCTTCTGATATGATCAAATTTGAAAGTTCCTGTGGCTGCAATACAGAAAGTGGTAGTTATTGTAGTTTTAGAAGAGGTAGCCATATTAGTTTGTGCAAGTATATCAGGCAACATTTTGCTCGATGTAGTTGTTTTGGTGTCTCACCTAGTGTTCTAAACAGATCCTTTTCCTGTGTCATAGCTACTCTCTATTAATATAACTCTGAGAGCTTATTATTTTACCTTTTTTTAAAGCTCTGCTTTCAAGAAGCTTTCTGAACTTGGTTAGACAGGCTCTAATACTGCATTATATCTAGTTTGAATACAGTTCTAACATTAGTGACTGTGTTCTTAAAGGATGCTACTGTTTCAGACAGCTTTAGCTGGCCATATTAAGTCTCCTCTTTGCTGAGAAGAAAGGGGGGCACTAGGATTTAATGACCAAAGGATTAGGGACGGATTAGCTATAGTAGCTTCACTTACATATGCATACATAAGGTAAAGATGCCTTATTTATTTCAAACTATTGTATCTTGACTTTTCATGTTTTTCAAAACACAAGGTGGCTTGCCTAGTGATTTACAATGCTGGGAATCTCTTACATGTTAGAACATTGAGGTTGCCTACCTAGCCAATTAGCCCATCATTGTTTATTCTGATGTGCAGAAGCTCCTCCAAAGTTTCAGGCAAAGATCCTTCCTAGTCCTGCTACTAGAGATGCTTTAAACAGAAATGCAAAGCACTCAACCTGGGACCTGATGCATGTTAAATAATTGCCATGTCAATCACCTACCAGGAATTCAAGAGTTTAATCCAAATTCACATCTCCAACCTAACTCTCATGGTATTTGGAAAGCAAAAAGCAGCACGACCTTGATTCTACCTTCTTTAACCTTGGGATGACATGTCAGGTATGTTGCTGTTTGGCATTGTGAACAAAACAAGCCCAAAATTAATTCGATCAACTCACACTTCCTTGTGACAGCTGCAAAAACGCTGTTGCCCCCCCCCCCGGCTGATCTCCCATATATCATATCTTTCCCTTCTTCTGTGTTTCTTCTCTAAACACAGGTGCCAGCACATTGTTGTTACACCTGCTGTTGGTAACATGGCCTGAGCCTTCTTCTTGGATTTTTTTTTTAAAAAACTCAACCCCAGTCACAGAAGTTCTTTTGCTGTAGAACTGATGGGGAGCTGGAATTCAAACTACTGAGATTTGGGACTGGACTTTGATCAAGAGCAAAAACTGATCTAAAACAGTCCTGGCCTTTTTTTTAAAGAGTTCTTGTTTTGTTGTTTTACATATTGTTGACAATTAAAACAATTTCAATTTACTATTTAAGTTAAAACAATTGTTTACTATTATGAAAACAATCAGAAATGGGGAGGAAAGCTTAAAAGGATAACAAGAGCAGAAAATGAAAGGAGATACATTACCTATTCCTTCTGGATTGATCCACAGAGTAAATCAGCTTTCTTAGCCAGCTTTAAAGAACAAATAAAGCAGAAATAAAATCATAGCACTCAGGAGCTTTGTGATATATTCACCAAGCTCTTTCAGCTCATTTACTTTCAACACCGTTAATCTGTAGGAAATCATTTGTCTACAGGCGACTGCAAGAGTCGCAGTTTAAAGTGGCTTACTCCTATTTCCATGGGTCCTCCAGCCCCTTTCCCCCCTTCCTTATGTTCAACACTTGTAAAAGGTGGTAATAAGGGTTATATTTCATTATTATGTAGGAAGCAGTAATTGTAATTATTCACATATGAAATGAACAAGGGGGGGAAGAATGTTGATCAGAGCTTCAGGGATACAAAAAGAGGACTAACCTCCCCCAATGTACCTTCTTGATCTGAATCCCACACAGCACTGGGGCCGCCACCACTTTATACAGTAGTAACAGATATTGTTCAAAGTATAACGGGGGCTATTAAATTCTGAACTTGCACTCTTATTTTCCACCTCCATAGCAAAACAGGCATGCAGCATGTTCTCTGGGGCCACCATACCCGTCATGCTTTGTTTTAATGAAGGACTATAGCACTAAGGAATAAGATGTCCAAGAGAACACTGGAGGTATCTGTGCTGTCGCCACTGACACAAGAGCAAAGGTTTTTCAGAAAACAAAACAGCACAAAGAAAGAGGAGGAAGAAGGGCAGCTGGTAGAATTCATATAATGACGGAATCTTACACCAACTTTATGAACAGAACAAAAACTAAAAATAATGCTTTCTCAGAACTTTGAATTTTGTTCCTCTGGGGAAGGGAAATCTAGTTAAATTTCATAATTTTTAAATGTAAGGAAGAAGGTAAATGGGAAATAGGTCTTTTACACACCTCTCTGTAATTGCTGGTGTAGCAGCATTCACAGCTTCCTGATGTAAAATATTCAAACCACACAGCCATTTCTCAGCATCATCCTTGGAGTCCGCTGCAAATTAAATGAAACTGTGAAGTTCCAGATAAGGTGCCTCCATATGCAGCACTCAAACAAAGAAGGTGTTAAACTTCAACAATCCCAACGCACAACTTTACAATGCCCCAAAACTCTGTGACTTTTTGTTGAGCTGATATAGCTAGATATCAAGATTCTGTGGATGGCTGAACGCAGTGAGATACCAGGTTGAAACAAAACCTCTCTGAGAAAAAGGAAGTAACCAATCATTGCATTCAGCCCCTTCGTTGCAGACTACAGTCTTATACTCCTTCATAAACCTGGTACAAATTCATTTTGTTCCGTGTCAAAGCAGCAACAATCAAGAACCATGCGGCCATGTTGGTGGAGAATGCGGAGGCCAGAGTGCTGACTGCAGTCACTTTTAAAAGCATACATCTCTTTTGGTAACAACTTCACTGCCCTGCTTCTGGTCACCATTCAAAGTGGCCCATACAGGACCATGCTGTATGAAAGGGCATATTCCCTCCCAGGAGCGTCCAGGGTTTAAGATTTTTCAGGGTGGCTTGTGATCCCACCACTGTCAGAAGCACATTTATTTTTATTTTATTTATTTTATTTATACCCCGTCTATCTGGTCGATAGGACCACTCTTGGCAGCTTTGAGTAGGACACAAGAAGGAGCTTTCTTAGAGGCAATCACCAGGTTCAGGAACTTGCTGCTAGGCAGAACAAAGCACAAGTAAGGCATGCTGCTTATATAGCGCCTCATAGTCCTTAAAGCACTCTCTGGGCAGTTTAGAATTTAATTATGCAGGTTACACATTGTGCCCCCCCCCATCCCCAGCAAGCTGGGTACTCTTCAAGAAGGCTGGAAGAGTGAGTGAACCTTGAGCTGGCTACCTAGGATTGAACATAGGTGGTGAGCAGAGTTTTGTCTGCACCCACTAGAAAGACTGATTCTCTTGATGCTGTCCTTCTGCCAGCAGACAAAATCATTTAGATACAGACAAGCTTTTGGTATTTAAACCAAGTCTTTGCTGAAGCACTTTTAATTGGTGGGGTACTTCTTATTTTTAACTGATGAGTTTTAATTGTGCTTTTATACTTTAAACATTTCATATGTCATGAGCATCATATTTTGCAGAAAAGCAAGACATCAATACAATAAATAGATCTGTATCGCCTCAAATGCATTTTAATGCTGCTTTACAGGAAACAAAATAGTGTTGTGCTAAATGACTGAAGCAATTCACATTTTCCAAGAATTATTTTACTGCAAGCTGCTTTGGAAAACCAAGACAGAAAAAGAGTGAAAATACAGCACAATAAATGGAGAAATCTAGTTTAAAACAATGTGCAGTTGTGACAGCAGTAGTGTAAGACTCTGCCTGAAAATATGATTACTGTTAAGAATAATAATTAAGCAGACACACCAAAGGTCATTTGGAATATATCCTAATAAACAAAAAACAAAACAAAATTATTTACCTGCTAAACTTAAAGTGTTGAGGACAAACTGAGTTCCATAAAAAACTGTGAAACAATGTTCATCTTTTTGCCGTGATGCTTTCCCACGTTCAAAATCCTTTGAATTCTTTCCTGGTCGGATTTCCTTTATTTCCATTAAATCCACTGAAAAACAAACAAACCAGTGTCAATTTGACATAAGCTTACTTTCTCAGGGTGGATGTCACTGTTTATTCAGATGCAAACATATAAACCAAGCTTCATCTGGGGACTTTTGTAATGATAGCACTGAAATATTATTGCATAAGAAACTGAAACTAAAAATAAATTTTAAAAAAGGATGGTGCAAGCTAATGTGTAGTCTAACTAATAATTGCATGCCATTAAGTAAATTTTGACTTATGGGGGTGCCTGTCAGGATTTTCTGGGAAATAGAGCACTCAAAAGTGATTTGATACCTTTCTGGGGACAATTTGGGACTGTGTCACATGCTCATGGCTACACATGCCAGCTCTTCTACAAAGCACATTGAGGAATCAAGATTCCCAACCCTGGCTCCACAGCCAGATTCTCTGTCCCCGAGCTATTCAGTAGGTGAGTTGGATATAAATTATTTTATACTGCTACTAATAAAAATATAAATAAACTTCCCATCTCTTTGTACAGGTGTTCAACTATCATAGGCGTATCTCCCACAGGCGTTTGACAAGTCATATTTCCTTATGTTCAAGTTTTGTTAGCTAAACTTTGCTCCATGCATCAGCAGGGAAGGGGGGATCTACTACTGTATATGTGACACATGAGACATGTGCATTCTTTAGATAAAACATTTGCTTCAAAACTGAGGAAGTGGTTTTATTCCACTTTGCAGACTGGATACAACAGATGGCTCTTCCTATTTGTGCTTCTTGACTAGTCAAGGAGTTATGGTTACATTTACAGTATGCACAATAGATAAAAACTGTACCAGTGTTCCTCAAATGTGTTTACTGAACCACACAATTTCACAGAGAAAAACTCCCAGTTAAGTAATCTGAGTATGCTGTGCATTATTTACATAACACAGCTGTTAAAACATTTGGAAGTTTTTACAAAATAATAATCAACTTCATGTCAACTTCAACAAGAAAATCATCAAGATGAGACAGATAGAATATTGATGGCACCAACAAAGCCAGGTAAATATCATTGCTGCCCAAAGAAAGTTTTGCTGCATGAAGAAGAGCAGAGAAGGCGGGAAAGACATGTGCTTCCTCTATAACTCATTGCAACCCCTTTCCCTTCCTGCATGAACAAACAAACAGAGAAAGCTGAAAAGAATAGCAACTGAGAAAAACAGCAAGGGCCTAATACGTTTTTTCCAAGACCCTGGAGTTAGGGCAACTATATTTCTACCACTCCCCTGAAAACTCTTTGGAACAAGCCCACAAATCAAACCAATAGTTCAGACAGTAGCTTCTAGGACTGTTACTGGCTATCCATTACCTGCACTAGTGAGTAGACAGTCTTAACAGAACTTCACATGTAAATTACTGAAACACCACAATGACCTCGGCCAACTTGCTTCATTTCTCCTTTGCGCTGCAGAACACTTCCTTTTTCTAGCTACAATTCTCACATTTATGTAAGAAGGCATTAAAACAGAATCAAGGTCTATCCTTCAAATTAGATCAAATGCATCTTAAAATGTGCGTACAGTAGTTGTAAAAGGGAGAGTCAGGTGGTTCATTACATCATTCTGTCTAGAAACAAGCAGCTAAGAAGTTAATTATTAGGCAAATCTATGAAGGGAGGAAAAGAAAGTCAGCGTAACATTTTAAAAGCTCATCAGTTATATCCTTTTTTCAAGAGCTTGATCCAAATGCATTTCACTTTAGTATTTTGAATGAAAAAATATTCTTAACAGTTAATTCTGAACTAATCCTGAAGTTTTATTTAAAAGAATTCTAAATTTCACTTTGTATTATAGTTATTTTTTCTCTTGCTCTAATGCAAGTAAAATTTGAGCATTTATTTACTACCTAATGTCTACACAAACTGTTATCGTCAGCTACTGAACAATTGCATTATAAGGAGAGGAGTGTTACCGCGGAGCTTAGAGAGTACAGGCAATTACTTCTTAATTTTTGTGTCTGGGTATAGTTTGTTGTTAAGTGCCATTAAGTCAGAACCAACTCATAGCAACCAACTCTTGTAGGGCTTTCAAGGTAAGTAACGTTTGGTTTTACTAGTTCTACTGTCCCAGTGAGTTTCCATAGCTGATCAAGGATTTAAACTATGATTTCCAAAGTCCAAGTCCATCATTCTACCCACAACACTACACTGGATACCTCCCAAGTTCAATAGTTCCCCCATTATTATCTTTTCCTCTTCAGAATTTCTCTCCTCTCAATTTACATAACTTTGAACAAATGTGTAGAATACAGAAGGGCATTAAAATGCTCAAGAAATTTATAAGAAAAGCTGGGGGAAAACCCCTGGCAAAATATAAGTTATCATCATGACAAAAACAGCATTTGAGACCATCCAAACTACAGTAATTTTGTCAGTGGGATCATACCTTAACTCACAAAATAAAGTATGCAAATGGGAAATACAGGACTTAAAGGCTATTGTCTCCTTTTACAAAACCACCTCACTATCTGCATTAGTAAAACACTGCTTTCAGTTCTACATCTTTACAGTTGATCCAGGACCACCAAACAAGGCTTCAAGGCTCAAATGATCACTAGAGTAACACAAGTATCCTGTAGAGACTAAGAAGATAATGTGACACATCTCATCTCGGCACTGCAACACAGATTTATGTGTATGTCTGTTTTATAAATTATGTATTTTTTAAAATATCCAGGACTTAATACGTAGCCAAATGTCATGTTGAAGTTACATAAGATATATGCGTCCAAAAATGTGGAGCGATTTAGTTGGAAGCAAAACCACAAGGTTTAAAAAAAAACAAACAAAAAAACCACTCAACTCCAAACTATCAGTGTTTGGCAACTACAATTTTCTTAACCAAAACCATAGTCTAAATTGAAGCCTTCTTCCTTTGCTAAAAATACTAAATTTTCAACTAACTGGTTGACCATATTATTTTCACCTCCATGGAATCTTTTAGATCCAGTACGAAGAAATTTGCTAAACTAGGTTTCCACAATCTCATTCTTTTTTTAACTAAAATGTTGCCCTGCCACTCAGCAATACAATTTTTTTCTATAATTTTGCCCGTGAGACAGTTGAGTCTGTTGCAGACACCTCAGCAGCAAGTCATCAAGATGGACATCCCCAATGTCTCAATGACACACAACTTGACCAAGAAATGGCAGAGGTGCGAAGGTTAAAAGGAATGTAAGACAGATAAACAGAGGCAGCAGTGTTTCTCAGCTGCTTTTATCCCACTGCCAATAATGGCTCAAGTCTTTGTATTTTACTCCCTACACACATAGACGTCTCAGAACCTACATTAAATGAATTGTTCTACTTTTCTCCCATGCTATCTTTTTTCCAACTCAAGCATTCGTAGTGATAAATGTTCATATCTAATAAAAGCTGCTCAGGCTGAGGGAAGACAGCAAGAGAAGACAGATGGCTCATTTCACCAGCCTCCATCATATTGCCAAACATATATTTTCACTAGCTCATATATGAACTTATACATAAAGATACAGTACTGTACTCTGTTTCCCCCAAAAATAAGATCTAACCTGAAAATAAGCCCTAGTATGATTTTTCAGGATGCTGGTAGTATAAGCCCTACCCCAAAAATAAGCCCCAGTTAAGTGAAACCCCATCCTCTACCATTGTGCAGCAACTAGAATATGACATCACTGTATTTCAATAAATGTAGATTGTTGTACATGAAAAAATCCCCTGAAAATATGCTCTATTGCATTTTTGGAACAAAAATTAATATAAGACCCTGTCTTATTTTTGGGATAACATGGTATCTTTCATAGCTTTTAGAGTTCTATATAGATCTTTTAAATATATAAAGAGTATCTTGAAATAGTTGCTGTGCATAATGTTAAGCAAGAAATTAAAAGAATATGAAAGCAGTCATTCTCTTAACTATACTAATTTCAGCAACTGCAGTCATTCCAAAATCTTTGGTTACCAGTTTCAAATAATTGCCAATAGCTGCTATTTTGCTTCCTTATTATTTTATTTGATTTATTCCTGAATTTTTTTAAAAAAATTAATGATTTTACAAATGTGTCATTTCCCCCACAATTTTTTAGGATCCAACTGCTAATGTTTAGGCTTGAACCTTTGGTTCATCCACATGCACCAGCGATGCTGAGAAATAAGAAGTGAAATACATTAATAATAAAGTGGCTATTTAAAATATATGTGGACTGGAACTCATTTACAACTGCAGCTCAGTTTTGTCCTTTTTCCTACCAGCCACAAACAGGAAGTCTGGTCTAGCTTTAAATGAGCATTACATGTAAAGGAAATGAACAGGCCTGTGTGCAATTATATGGCCACACATGTTGATCTTTTATCTTGCCACAAAAAGGAAATTCTAAATACCCAGCTTAAAAAATACACTTTGATGCACCAAAGACATCCCATGGGTCAGAACTGAAACAGATCTGTGTTAGATTTTAAAAACAGATGAAAGTTAATGCACCTTGGCAAGGTTATTCAAATTCACTCTCTTGTGTATTACAGCTGCCACTTAAAATTCTCAGAAATCAGATCATAGTAAATCAGAACCTAAAGTGCCAGCAGGAAATTACAAAATGTTTTGCTTTATGCATAACCTGTTTTGTTAGCATAAAATTCATGATTATAGAGACGCAAAAGTAGAACTGTTACTTTAGGACTTGATTCAAAGAAAAACAAAAACACTTCTGTTTTGGGCAGAAACCTACTATGAAATGGGCAGTGATATTCTTGCAAATGGGAAGAGGCCATGAAAATAATAAACCTGTGCACAAAAACCTACAGAGCAACATTAAACTGACTCCAAATTTCCTTTGACTGAGTAGGATGCTGAGAGGTGGTACTGATCTTACATCTGGATGATGGTGAAAGAAGCCAACCATTTTTACTGGTTTGATATTACTCCCCAAAGTGCAAAATCTTCACAATGCCTCAGCAGGATAAACAAAACCAGAGGAGATAAAATTAGCAGAAATGGTTAAGCAGAAGAGTCATGT